AGTTGCTAATGTGCTGCCTATCTAAAATTTTCAATCAAAATTTGCTGAGCCGAAAGGGTTAAAAAACGAATTGCTTGGTTAAATATGTACCAATTCAATTGCTAAGTTTGATTTAAAGTTTGGTTACTGAGCTAGGATTAATGAGCAATGAAAGATAAACGTTTAATTTAAATTTTGTTTGTAGTCACAGAAATCTTTCATTATATAAGTAAAATAAAAAATAAACAATTTTAAGGAAAAAGGCAAACATGTAATTGTTCAAAAACCCAATTTTTCAATTCTCAAATTCTAATTCCCATTTATTTACTCATTCACAATTTAATAAATTCATTCATTTTTTTTTTTTTAATTTAAAAGAAATCCTTAGAAGAAATTAATTGATTGATTTACTAAAGAACTATTAAACTTAGTATGCTTTTAGACTAAGAATGCTAAACTTCTTTTTTAAAATTGGCGAAAAAAGATTGTTTGGGAGCTGCAATCTATTGAATTTTTATGTAAATTCCATATTTTTTAGCGTTATAATAATAATATCAGTTTGCTTTAAAAAATTAAAAGACAAAGTACAGCAAATTGTTTATAATATTTCAAAGTTTATAAGGGTAATGTTTTCGAATTAAAAGAAGAAATATTTGAAGTTCTGCGCACTTTGTATTTTCATTCTTTTTTTTAAAAAAAGAAATTAATTACAGTAAATTTTTAATTTTAGATAATGGTAACTAATTTCCGACTTTTCTCTGTATAACTAAATCTTTGATCTACATTTGTTATGAACATGTTCTAGTAAACTTTTACAAAAAGGAAATTTTGCATGGAACTATCGAAAGATTAAAACCCTTAGTACTTTTACATTTCGGAAATATTTTATTGTTATAATTTTAGCTCTTTCTTAAATTTACTGAAATTCGTTTGAAAGATCAAGGATAAAATTTTTCGAGCTAGATGTGTAGGTTTTTCCAAAAATTTTGTGCCTGTACTGGGACTATTAGAGAGCCAAACGATGCGCAGATCTATTTTTCAGATAACAGTCGTTTTTTCCTTATTCTGTGAATTAAGGATAATTTTTAGTATATTAAATAAGAATCTGATTTAAAAAATGTAGTTTTAGTTTTTTTCAAGTTCTTTTAAAATACTTAAAAAATGTTGGTTTTAATGACTTCAAAACGTATTACTTATTTTTAAACTTTTTGTATAAAATTACTTCAAGACTTCCTCATAGTTCTTTCGTCTTTTTTTTTTTTTAAATCAAAACAATTTAATAACAATACGAACTCCTTATCTTGAATCTGGAAAAAATGCATGGGTCATTTTTTTTTAATAATTTTATCCCCTGGCTCCAGTTAGAAGCACGTAAAACACCTGCCATGATAAAATGTACACCTGCCATGATAAAATTATTTTTGATTAAGCTCATAAGAGGATAAGAGATGGATTGACTATTAACTATCAACAATTTCTTTTTTTTTCTTTTTTTTTTTTAAATAGAAGAAGAAAAAAGTAAAAGAAACATGTTATTTTGAATTCTTGAAACTGTGTCTCTTTTAGTTATTTCACTCCAAAAGTAAACATTTGGAAATATTAGAAAACTGCTCGAAATAATATGAAAACTTTTTAAACGTGTAGTTTAAAAGCGACCTGGAGAAGAAATTTTTTTTAAACTTGTTTGTTGTTATCACTTGTTTGTTCTATTGCCACCACCTGTTTGTTCTACCGCCTAGACTGAAGAATAAATGCAGTTGGAGAGTTAAAATTTGGCATTTTAAAACAAAATTTGGCATGTTGTTAACACTAGAAAGACGGAAAATTAGTATATACCTATATTGCCCAAAAGCAGTCAAAATAACTGCATTGTGAATGCGTAAATAAATTTTTTTTAAATTAATTTTTAACATTTTTAATATTATTTACCACAAGTTATTAGTAATATATAGCAAGTTATTAGTAAATATTAACAATAAAAAAAATTATATGTTGTACAAAAAGTCACAAAATTCTAAGAAATTGTGTCATTATATACATCATTGCTTTTCTAATTGAAAATAAAAAGCAGTCAAAATGACTTCCTTAGGCAATCTAGTGTTAAGGCCATTATTATTATCATTATTGTTGCTATTGTTGCTGTTGGTTAACTTGAAATAATTTTTCTTCCTGAATATTTTTCTAAGTTCATTTTTAAACTATGTTTGCGTAATTTACCTTCAAATATCTGACTTTAAGACACTAATAACAAGGATGGAACATCTTAAACATAATATGCTTATATTTGAGTCTTTATTATTATTCCATGCACTAGATATATTGAAATATTGATTAGTATTTATTTAAAAAAAATAGTCGAAATAGTTATGACACAGGATGATTATTAGTTTGAAAGTACGTCGAAATTTAATGAAAAACTTAAACATTTAAACCAAAATAATTTAGCTGTTTTGTTTGCTTGTTATTATGTACAAAATATAGTGTGTAAAATTATTTTATGAAATTTTTTACACTATTCTAAATTTATAACGTATTTGTTATGCTATCACAACTATTATCTACTCATCGTTGTAAACATCTATGATAAAGAGAGATTAATATTTTCTGGAATACTATAACGAAATAAAAAACTAATACTTACTACTTGCTTTGCATTTTGAACGTAAGTAATGTATTTTCATATACTTACATTTTTTTTTATTATTATTATTCGTAACAAAAATGTCATACTTTGCAAATAATCGGAAAAAAACGTAAGCTTTAAGATGATTCTTGATTAAAACTTCATTTGCTTCGAAAATATACAAATAGGAAATAACAGTCGAATTGTTTCAAGCGCTTCAAAAATAAGTGCCAATTTAAATATTTGCCAGATGTGAATTTAGGTTTTTCTTGTATTGTTTTTCTTTTTTTTTCTCTCTCGGCTTCTATAGCTTTTATAGTTTTCTTTCTCACCTTTATTTTCCTATTTTTCATTGGCAACTTTACATTTTCTATTACAAATCTTTTTTGTTTCTTTACATTCACGTATGGCAAATCTTGAAAATGGGCACCTATATTTGAAGCGCTTGAAACATGTCGACTGTTATTTTCTATTTGTATATTTTTGAAGCGAATGAGTTCCGGAGATATAGAGAGGTACGCAGAAAGTGAAAATAACATTATGTGATCCATATATTTTCGATCACTCTCCTGATAAAACTATGAATACCTTACTTTCCAGATTACAGTTATCGCACTCCCCTGTATTTTGAGGGTCAAAAGCCCAAATCTGTCAAAATAAACGTTTGTTTAACATGAAAAATGTGTGCTATGCCTGATTTTTGTATTTTGAAATATCGTCTGCATTAATTAATTAGCATGTTTAAGCTTAGGCACTAACAACTTTTAAGATTGAGTCCTAATACGTGAAAACCAACTCATTAGTATAAAAGTTTTCTCCATTTTTTTCGCCCTGTGCAACCAATGACGGCGTTCCGGGTACATTTATAACAGGAAAGTTTAAAAATATGTATTATCTGAAAAATTCAAATTTATTTAAAAATTATGACATTTTTAAAAAAATCATTAATCCCAATTCCCAATTTAATTAATGTAATATCTATATATTTGATTAAAATATCTTTCTTCTTTTTTTTCCTAATAAACCGGGAACATTTTTTAAACATAGTTGTTCTTGAATGTTTTGTATCCCATCAGAAGCCATCGACAAATATTGCCCTGCTTGGATGGGAGGAGAATCAAGAAATTATATAAGTTTGGGAAAGAACGAGGGAGGAGTAAAGGGAAGTGTGACTTGCCGTATTTTTGCTTAAATAAAAACATTTATAATCAGCGTTTAAAATATATCAGTGTTATAATATGCCATTTGTATTTATCATTGTTCATCAAGATATATACACATCTCATCATTATTGTTTTACTCTCAAACTCACTTAAAACAAATCATTAAGTTATAGTATAAAAATAAAATTTGAAATAAGATTTATAACATGTGTTTTGTTTCTGAAATGCTAATAAGTTTTTATTATATAGCTTGTTATTTTTCAAAGGGGGAGGGCGTAAGGATATGGTGACGTGTGGCACTTTGAGACAAATGGTAAATAATATGAGGAGGAAATCAAAAATATTGGGGAAATTGCGATAACAATTATGAATCAGTGAGTCTTGATAAAATAACAATTATCAGTAGTCATATTATCATGGTCCATTCTCATTGCATTTAATTTACTCATCTCCGATCACCGTCGAGGAAATATGAGAATCTGATTAGTGAAATATATTTTACCGTGAAAAACTCACCAATCAGGTACTCTTCAATCAGTGTCACCAGTGCGAATTGGAATGTGCCTTTTTTCTCCAGCAGGCAATCAGACATGTGGCAACCTTATGCAGTGAGAATGCTCCCGTGATTTAGCAGCCAAAATATACCTTAAAATTCTATCTATTTTATTCTTTATTGATAACTGTAACTGTAGTTATCAGTTATGACATCACTTTTGTTTATATATATTTTCCCCACTGGATTTAGTTTTGATTTAATTATAAAGTTAAGTTTTGAAAGTATGTAATATAATTGATTTAAAAAAATAGCATGTTTTTTAAAATTGAAAACATCATTTAAATTAAAAAATAGTCAAGTTAATTGAAACAATATGGACAATTAAATAATTTATCAGGTGGTAATTTACATAAAGAACTTAGTTGAAACCGGTTAATGGTTGAAAATTATTTCGTTCCTTTATATTAATTTTCTTTCAAACAGTCTCAGTGTTTTGCTAATCAGAAATAAAGCAGTAATTTTTTATTATTATAATTTTTTTACCAGTCACTTTCATTGGTTTCAATATTCCTAAGTAAATGGAATAAAATATAAATTTACGTGACTATATTACGCATTTTATTTTGCGAAATGCAGCCGCATATAGAATATACGCAAAAAGACATGTGTTGTAATTATAAATCAGTGATTTGAATTTATATTTTCTTAAAAATCTTCGCACAAATAACCTTCTCGCCTTGGGAAGTAAATTTTCAAAGGGTAAACAATATTCAAGCAATTTTAAATGCGACAAATCATCAATTATCTGTACAATATTGCAGCAATTGACAGCATTTTGTGTAGGGAACAAGTTGCCATGAATGGCGAGCAGCTGTGGGACTGTACTGCTTTCCAAAAGGCCCGCACTTTTTATTTTATGTGGCTCTCCATCCCTGAAGATACCTCTTTTTTGTATTAGACTGCAAGACTTATTATGCTTGATAAAGTAAATATAAGGATGTAATAAACTCATAGCCACCTTCAAGTGAGCTGCTACTTATTACTTAATTTTTACAAGTACAAAAAACCCTTTTGTAATTATAATTGGCGCAAACAGGTATTGATATAAAATTATCCTCCTCTACATAATTTACAGAAATTTTGTTATATTCTTCAAATTAAAATTGTGGAAAAAAACGAGTGAAAATTTCTGACAAAAATAATAATAATAGAAAAGGATAAGATTTTGATACTTTAAATCATTGTAGCAATACTTCATTTCAACTTCATTTGTATTATAAAACAAAATACTTGGAAAAATTTACTTTATAAATGATTTTGCCTCTAAAATTAAGAAGAAAAATAACAAATATTAAGGTAGAAAAACTCAACAAAAATTTAGAAGTTCCCTATAGCCATTCATTATTTTTTAATGGAATTTTTTTTCTATAAGAAAATCTCTCAATTTTTGGTAAGATAAGATATTTTTTAATAATAGGGTGCACAACAGTTTAAAACTTGTTATAAATATTTTTTTCTATCTGATTTCTAAAAAGAGTTTTTTTATGTAGGTTATGGGTGTTTCCTCTGTTGAAATTGGTTGTAGAGTACATTTTGAAGGAGAATTTGGAACTGTCCTTTATGTTGGTCCAATTGAAGGAGTTGATGGTGAGTTTTTCTTCATATTTTAAAGAAGAGTTAAAATCAATTAAATATGAAAAGTTTTATGAATGAGTAATTTATTAAAATTTATTTTAAACCAAAAATATTGCCTTATGAACTACTAAATGAGTTTAAAGTTTCAAACATTTTTTAGTTCATAAAAGTTGGTAGTATATTTGATGTTTTATTAGCTAGTCATATTTGTTTTAGGTATTGTGAACTTACTCATTTTCTTAAAAATTAAAATGTTGGCATACCTGTTATGTTGAGTTTTCAGTTGTAGGGTTTTTTTTTATACTTGTGTGCTATCACAACTATATTGGCAGCATAACAGTCAGCATAAAGAAAAATGCTTGCGGAACTAGCCCGGCTAACTAACTCTAATAAATAATAATGCAATTTTAAATAATAACAATTGAGTGAATGAAAAAAATAACGAAAATAATACTAAGGAAAAATTATAAATTAAGGAAAATAAATTAAGAAAAGTAATAAAACACTGATTTGGCATGATCTTAGTTACATTTTGGTGGAAAATGTACAGGCATAGATTGTAAAATAGAATGGAAACAATTTTTTTATTGAGCCTGGCGCCAAGCAAACTCTGATGAGTATGATTCGAGATGATGTCACAATGTTCCACATTGTCTTTTATTCCGTCATTTGGCGGATTCCCATGCTCTGTCGATTGTTTGGGTGTCGACGAAGTTCTACTTATGATTGACTTTCTTATGATGAAATCCAGCAATTTCCATTTTGCTTATCTGATATACTCTCTAACTCTCAGAGTAAATTGCACTTCCTTCTTAAATGTTTTCAACAATTATTTGAAAAGAGTAGTTGCAGTTCTATTAGGAACAGTTGATAAGAATATTTCTTTGGGCTCTCTACACATGGCGATAAAAACCCACTGTTCTGGAAATACTCGACATGGATTATTTTTCCTTTTGATGAGCAAACTTTCATCCACGAGGATATTCCAGACTGTTTGATAAAATGTTGTGTTTTTTTTTTTATAAAGACCACGCCATCTTTTTCACTGTTCGATAAATCCCATACAACTCCAATACTTGCCCTTTCTATTGCATTGAAGATATATAACAAACACAAAAAGGAAGGAAATTTTTTCGAAAGAGAAGCATTTGGTTGCTACTTTAGCTCTTTTTGGATTTCCAGTTTATCGCTCTATCTCCAAACTTGGCATGGTTGCGATAGTTGCGTTTTTTTTTTTTAAAGTAAAAACCTTTTGACAAATTAAATATTTTCTTCTTACATTTCTTAAACCACTAATTAAAAAACATAAGTTAATAAATTTGTCTATGTCTTGAATAGACAAACTGGATACACTCTAAATTACTCTATTTGTGTGCAAGTGCTACTAATGTATTTGTCTCTGATAGTATTTTCTGATTTCACTCGTCTTAATATTGTGTTTTTTCATACATAAAATTCATAGATAACATAAAATTTATTTTTTGATGCAGGACATGAAATTTTAGTATTGAGTAACAAAAATTCAAACCAACCATTAAATGTCACACATGTATTATATATATGTAACATAAGTCTGAGTTACAAACAGGAGAATTGTACGATTTTTGTTCGGAAGATTCTTTAAACAAATTTAATAAATCTACTTACAAGTGATTTTTTTTTCTTAGATATCCTTCTGCATAGGAAAAAAAAATCCATTTTAAAAACTATTTGGTTGATAAAATGTGAGTATACTTGATGACATCAAATCAAAATAAATTCTAGGTTAACATGGGTTTTATTTTGGGATTTCAAAAGGTTCTTCTTCATCATTAGGACTTTGCTATCTCTCACTGAAGGGTGTAATTTTAGGCAAGATAATTTAGAAATAACCAGATATTGCATAGATTGATATATACTATGTTAAGGATTGTTTTTGTTATTGTTTATTTCCTGCTCATTTTTTATAAAAATTCATACCATTTCTTTTAATTTTATTTAACCTTTTGTATATGGCCCTTAGCATGACAATATCCGTTATCCTGGTCCATCAGATGTATTAATTGTTATCAAAGTATTAAACATTATAATCTATGTTCCTATATTTATCTTATTTCTTATTATTAATAACATAAATAGCTAATGGTCTAAAATCTTTTTTCATTTTGTTGACCTACTCCTATTGGCTACAAAAATTATTTCATAGGATCCTTAATCTGAGATCCAGATTTCTTTGCTTGTCATCAGCATAAATATTTTATGAGTTTTCAAATATTTCATAATTCAATTTTCAATGAATTATGAAATATTTATTTAGAAAAAAAAATTAGATCAAGTTGCAAATGTATTGCAGGAAATGATTAGGTTTAATTTCATCCCAATAAAATTGGAAACTAAATTTGTGGAACCAAATATGTAATAAATAATTTTATGTTCTTTTGAATGAATAATTTTTAATTTAGATATAGCAATCCTTTTAATTATAAGAAGTAAAAATAGTTCAGCAATCATAGGGATTGGTAGGTTAAGCATACAAAAAGCAAGGTCCCCAATAAATACTTATTATAAAGCATTATTTTTACATTGAAACTTCTATAACCTATAATGACCATACTTATTGGTTTACTCTTTGATTCCTTTTATATAAAATTTTATAATAATCACTCATTTTGGTTTAAAACTATAATAATGACAGTGCACTTATTGCCCATATAAAAAGATTAATTCAATTTGTGTTTTAGGAACTTGGCTTGGTGTTGAATGGGACAATTTAACAAGAGGAAAGCATAGTGGTTGTTACAATAATATTAATTATTTTCAAACAAGGTAAATAATTTCATAATAAATTATATGAAAACACAAGTTTTTAAACTGAGTGTTTTCATCTAGTTTTCTCAAATCATTTTACTCATAAAATATTTTTTTAAACCTTTACTAGAAACCATAATTAGTCTCTTACGTTACAGTCTCTAAATTTAGATAACAAGTTATTGAAAAACAGTTTTTTTTAATTATATTTTAAAATTTCAATGAAAGTTATTCAAAGAGACAATTTCCCTCCCTTTCTTTAAGCATTTTACTTACATCTAAGAGCATATTATATTATGGCTCCATGTTAAATTTTATGTATTTATTTGTTTAAGAAAAAAATTGCTTAATCATATTTATTTATTTATTCTTAAATACAAGTAAAGAACTTTTCTTTATTAAAAGTATGTAAAACTCCTAAAAGAAAACATAAAACTTGGTTGACTCTAATGTACATAAGATTTAAACTTTTGAAAATCTTTAGTTATGTTTACAAAAACATAGTTTAAATTAAACAGATGAAGTTAAAAAAATATTTAGAAAAATTCAGAATTTATGTTATGACATATTTTTATCAGATCTTTAATATTGAAATTATAGAAATCTTGCCTGATCTGCATTATTTTTATGTATTCAGAGCTTTCCTTTGTCAATAAGCAGAAAAAAGTTGTGTATCCTTTTATTAGACAATATCTCTTATTGGATATTTTTGTTACCAAATTTTTCCCTTTTGACACAAATTTTTACTAAAATATTTAAAAGCATGTTGAAAATAGTTCAGTAAAATATAATTAAACCATAATCAAAATATTTTATAATTGCAATGTGTATATCAGTATATTTTTTTCCAAAGAGCTTTAAAGTATTTGCATTTTAGGTTGTATTTGTGTGAACGAAATTATTGTTCAAGCTCAAATTGACTTTTTTTTGTCTATGTATCAAGAAAAAATAATATAATTGCATGATAATCTGAAACTATGTAGGCATAATTCTATTGTGTTTTATTTTTTAAATTTCATTTAGAATGAAAAAATTAAGTAATCATTTATCTGGTTCGAAATTTTCCAGTCTTGAATTGTCCATTCATTTCCAAATTATTTTTTTAAATTTGTTTTATGGATATCACAAATAAAGTCTAAAAGTCTTTCTAAAAAATGGTTCTGTTGTTACTTATAAAATTCTTTTACTTTTTTTTCAACCATCTATTGTATATTTGTCAATAGAAAAACTTACCTTTAAAATTACTTAAGGTGTAGAAAAAGCCACCCTGTTTTGAGCATTCTAAACATTCTCTAGATTCATCACATGTGAATGATGAAAACCAAATTAATTTTAAAAATAAAAATGCAAAATTACCGATTAAAAAAATGAAAAAGAAGATTAAAGTGAAAAATATAACAAGAAAGCCAGCATCAACCAAACGAGGCAATCATTGCAGAATACATTTCAAACCAAAATGAAGAAAGTGTGGTACTGATATCATTTTCTTGGTAATTGACATATGAATGAAGCAAGATTCTAGAGCATCAGGATGAGCTGCTGTGGCATTCTTATCTTTCTTTTGTCCACCTTATGTAATTTTAAAGTAAATTAAGTTTTTCCATTAACAAGTACTGTGCCTTTCCGCATCAGTTTCTTAGGATTATTCATTTCCGCTATTCTATATTCAATTTCTATTTTAGTATTCCCAATGCGGGCAGTTTCATTCGTCAATCCAAAGCAGACTTGGGAATTTCTTGTCCAAAAGCCGTGAGGCTAAAATATGGTCATGAGGATGCATCCTCTGTAACTCCAACTTATATTTATCTGCCACAGAAAAGTGGACCTGAAAGGCATGTTGAGATGGTTGGAATGAAGAAAATTATGGGAAAACAAAGGTAGCTATTTTGTTAAATGTTTAACTTTTATTACAATATTCCAAAACTAAATGAAAGTTTTGCCTTAAGATTACTAGCAGTTTTTGATTTTGAACATTTATTTTTTACTAAAAGAAATTATTACTTATATTTTCACAGGATTATTAATCATTTCGTGATTTATAATTCATAACTACAAATAAAAAATTTTTTAGATAATGACTTATCTAAAATGAATGTTAAATTTCAGAGTAGTAATTTATTTCAACCTCTGATAGACAATAAAACTACAACAATTTATGTCAAAAGGAGCTATTTACCAAACGTTATATAGTAAATACTATAAAGTAGTAAAAATTATATGGCATAATTACTTTTTTGCATGCCAGCATGAAGATTCAGACAGCTTCGAAATCTTGTATTGTCATTGGTGATGTGTAATCTGCCTGATGGTGCATAAAGTGATTTTAAAATTTGGTTTCTGATCAACAAAGAGTCATTCTTCTTCATGGTGAATACAGATTCACTCATCCGCCAATGATATTGCCCTGAAAGTTGTTTTCAAGATCTTTTATAGTCTAGGCTAATTAATGATCTTTTTTAGTCTAGGCCACTAAATAGGCTAATTAATGTTGACAATAAAGGTGGGTCCAAAAGGGATTGGGTATATTTGTAAAGGATAAGATACACTAAAGTAAATAAACGTGAATAAATCACAAATTAATAAAGTACAGAAAGGGACCTGCTTGTTTTGGTTCTATAAACTAGAACCTTCCTCTGTGTCTAAACACCAAATAATGATAAAAGATAAAAGGGGATATATAGAAACATGCAAAAGGAGATTTGGATTGGCGAGTGCCTCAGGGTGCAACAGAGAATAGACTTTCAAATATTAAGAAACTGTCGAATAGTAGAAAAATCATTAACTAAATTATTAAAAACCATGACTTACAGTTTTCCTTCTAATATTATTAATTCCTTCTCTTGAAAATTAATCTTGTAATGCACTGAATTCTCTAATTTGAACTTATCTGAAAATCAATACCTGAAATTCGCTAAGATTTTGAATAAATTTGAGTTGAAAGCCGTTTTTTCCTCTGCAAATAAAATTTCATCTATCTTAAAGATCCTTTTGTTGATATTAATAGCTGGGGTATGTATCACATTTTGTGCCAATGGGGTTTTGCGTATATTGAACAAACTAAATGCATTTTTTAATTTCGATTTAAAGAACATGAGAGATATGTCCAAAATCAGGACATAAACCTATCTTTCGTTGCTCTACATAACTGGAATTCTTATCACAGGTTTGATCTTTCTTCTGAAAAAAAATCTTCTTCTGAAAAATTTTGTTAAAGATCTCTCTAGTATCTCACCATTTTCCAATATTTTTATATTTATTATAATTAATTTGTTGCACCTTTGAGATCATGCCAAATTCCCTCACACCTGTTTCTGGTCGCTTTTTTTATTATCTTGTTGAGACTTATCCCTCTGTCCCTATTGGTTAAACCTTTTTGCACATGTTTGCTTTTTACTTCTATCATTTTGTGTTGAAACACTAAAGAAGCTTCTTGTTTATGGAATCAAAACTATAGTATATCCATTTTTGTAGTTTTATTTGTGATTTATTTACACTGTTTTTTTGCTTTAATGAAGGTGTGCTTTTTGTGGATTTGGTCTGGACTCAAAAACATCCAGATCAGTAAGGACCCATTTCTGAGGTTGAACAGAATTTTTAAACAGGGATTTCTAAACTCTTTTAATAATGTGAAAATGTGTTGTTCTTCATGTTTATTATGTTAGAAAGTAATTTTTTTTATAGAAAATCATTTTGTTTACTCATTTTTTTTAAGAGCACGTCAGCTATATTTATTATTATTCTAAATTTTTTGTTGCATTAGTTTTTAGCAGTTTTTAAAGCTGTTTTATGAAGGAAATCATTGTAATAGTATTATCTAAGTCTTGAATAATTCATGCCTTGCAAGAAATAATATTAATCAAATAATTGAAACATTATTGTGAAACAATGATATGTTATAGCGACAAAAAAATTAAAATAAAAAAATAAATTATTTAAAAGGTAGCAAATTTAGTAAACTGTAATGTATATATAGGTCCCACATCAAGTTTTGTTATTTAACATTTCTTGCAATCTTATTGCTGTCTTATAATACCTATTGCTTCTTATATATTGTAATGCAGTTTTAATGTAATTATACTATTGCAATATTGTGTTAATATAATTTAGTCATTGAAAATATAAATGAGTCTTAAATATATCCTTATTTGATTATCGTTTTTAAAAATGTTTTCAGTAACTTCCATAGTTTGACTAATGTTGTACTGTCAAAAATNACGGGAAACGAAAGAGAAAAAAGAATAAACCCGACCTTACTCAAAAAGAGACAAGCAAACAAATAATATGATATCACTTTTCCATAACATAATTTTCCCATTCCCCCTCCTCTGAAATTAGTAATACATTTGCAAAGCAAACACTTTCAAGATCATTTCACTGCATTCTGAAGTAGGTGGTGGTTCTATTTATAGCAGCGCAATGCAAAGCATCGTACTTCGGGAAAGCGTATATATATGCCCGCGGCAGTTAAGGGGTTAATAATGTGAAAATGTGTTGTTCTTCATATTTATTATGTTAGAAAGTAATTTTTTTTTATATTAAATCATTTTGTTTACTCATTTTTTTAATAGTATTTATATTTATTATTATTTTAAATTTTTTGTTGCATTAGCTTTTAGCAGTTTTTAAAGCTGATTTATGAAGAAAATCGATGTAATAGCCTTGAATAATTCATGCCTTGCAAGAAATAATATTAATCAAATAATTGAAACATTATTGTGAAACAATAATATGTCATAGGAACAAAAAATTAAAATAAAAAAATAAATTATTTGAAAGGTAGCAAATTTAGTCAACTGTAATATATTTATAGGTCCCACAGCAAGTTTTGTTATTTAATATTTCTTGCAATCTTAATGCTGTCTTATAATACCTATTGCTTCTTATATATTGTAATGCAGTTTTAATGTAATTATACTATTGCAATATTGTGTTACTATAATTTAGTCATTGAAAATATAAATGAGTCTTAAATATATCTTTATTTGATTATCGTTTTTAAATATGTTTTCAGTAACTTCCATAGTTTGACTAATGTTGTACTGTCAAAAATGCTAATTAATGATCCAGGAGAAGTGAATGAGTTGAAAGAATTAATACCAAATGTTCGTGACTTAGATTTATCTCAGAATCTGCTTTCATCTTGGAAATCTGTTAATGAGATAGTTGAACAATTACCTTCACTTGATACACTCATCCTTTCGTAAGTTGAAGCTATCAAACTTTTTTTTTCTTAAAAATTTTTTTATTTCTTTGTTTGTGGAATGAAAAAAAAAATTTTTTTTTCTTTTTCCATATTTATTTATAGAGATTTCAAATTACATATTCAAAATGTCTAATAGCTCAAAAAAATTCTAGTTATATATTAATCTGAAATATCAATTGTATAAGTTCAAGTAATACTTTTTTTCTTTATGTATTGTTTTCTTAAAATTGTTTTAGCTTGATACACATTGCCATAGTTGTAAGATTAGTGATAAATTGATTTGAAGAAGAAAATTTTTTCTTTATTACTATTACTTCAAGCTTACTTCAAATTGCTATTTCAATTGAATCACACATGTTTTGATGGTACTATATCATGCCAATATCGTCAGACAACAATGTAAAACAAACCATTGTTATTTTTTACTTATTCCAGTTTAGATTATGCTGGTGCATTTCAATTATCTGCTGCGATGTTTAATCTAACAAGCTTCTAATGCTATTTATTTTGTTATTCAACATAGTTAAACATTGTTATTTAAGCATAATTAAACATTTTGATCTCTAAATTCACTACTTTTGTATTGTGGTTCTATCTAAAAGCTTTTGTAAAGGTTTCATCCAAATTGTGATATTTATTAATATACATATTTTACTCTTAATTTTTTTTGGCACCGTATTGCTTTTTAGCATTTTTGCTTATCAAAGTTCTCCATTGCGAAGATTGGCATGAAAATTATATATTTAACAAGCAAACTATTAATATAATTTTTTTTCTGCTACTTATTTTTTTAATTATTTGCTATTCATCTTATTTATTACCTTATCGTTATCTGTATTAAATTTTTAATATATTTATTAAAAACAATTTTTTTTTTCCCTTTCATTTTTTCCATGGTCTTGTATCTTGTATTTGCTGGAGGTTTTGCAAGGTTTAGATATATATATTAAATACATCTACATAGTATGTAAAAGATATCTGAAATTTAAGAATCTTATTCTTGTATATCTTAAGTGGTTACTGTATTAATCCAAAAATTATATTGGATACATTAAAAAAAAACTTCTTGTTTGTTCATTCATGATTCAAATTTTAGTGTTCTTGTTGCTGGTAAATTTATTAATTCATTTTTTCGATGATGTTTATGAGGAAAAAAATGTAAATAAAGTTATGAAAATTCTAAAAGGTGAAATATTTGACATTTTTACTGTGGCTTTACTAATAATTATTTAGGCTTTAATTCATCAAATTAAAACGAATTTTAATTTTTTTAATATTAAAATAATTACTTCTGTGCAATACATTCATTTTAATTTAAAAAAATAGAGAGAATTGAAAATTTTCTCACATATTTATTATTTTGAGAAGAATTCTATTTTCAACTTTTAAATTGAAGCAATATAAATTAAATTTTATATCTAAAAGAGAAATTTCTACTTCAGCACAATTTATTATTGTTCTTTTGATACGTTTATAAAGTTATTGTATGTATGAACTCTGGATTTGGACAAATTTGTTTAAAAAGGTTCTTGTGATTTTATATGGTACTGTATTAGTGCCTAGCTACATTAATAGTATATAGGTATATTTAATTCTTTCTTTATTTTTTTTTCTTTCAGTAAAAATAGATTGCAGATACCTGAATCTCCTGAACACCTTGATTGTTATAAAAATGTGAAAACACTTGTGATAAATGATATGGCTTATGATTGGCGAAAAGTATGTTTATTTATTTCCATTCAATTTTCCAGAAAATCCTATATGGTACCTTGTTATTTTTGTTCTAATTTTGTTTAGCATTTCTTGAAATTAAGTATTATGTGTGGTATTTATATGTGTTGTTAGTGCCATGTTTCTTTTCCATTTACACAAGTATGGTATAAATGTGTAAATTTATTGCGCATTTTATTGTTTTTGCTTTATATAGATTTCTAAAATTATAAATTAAATAGATTTTTAGAATTTGGTAAGATTCATTTCTCATGTGTATACCATTTATATTGAAAAATTAATGTGTTTGATATTATTTTAATGATGTACATAATTTATTTAGTTTAATCCTTTAATATTGTAATTAATGTAGTTTAATCCTTTAATTCGGATTCCCAAAATCAGATTTATCAATGTGCTCGCTGTAAACCATAATTCACTGTATCGAATTTCTTTGAAAAATAATTTTTTTAATAAATGACAGTTATTTTGCTGGAAATAAATTATTATGATGTCGCAAAATTTGCTTATAATTAAATGAATAATGGATCAAAAAATGAAAAGAAAATACTTAACTAAAAATTTATTTTAATTTTACCTTCTATGGAAAAAAGTAGTGATTTTTAATTGAATACAAATCAATTTTAAGTAGATTTCTACATTTTTTTGAAATCAACAGTCAGTAAAATGTCCAAAATTTTCTGATCTATATTTTCTGTAGGAAAAAATAAACGTTCAGGATAATTTCCGATGTAGTTGGTGCCAAAATTTCTAGTTCTTCAACATTTTCTTCTTTTTTAACATTATTTTGTTTAACTTTGGATACAAAGGAACAATGCCTTAAAAAGTGCCAATTGGATGTTTCCATTTTTAATAGGTTTGATAATTTTTACTTTATACTCAATCGAAAAAGCTATTCTCTTTACAAAATTTTTCCTTTTCGCTTATTTTGGAAAATTCCTACCTACCTCAAATGAATATGTAATAATATGAAGAGAGCAACTGTTAAACCAGTTAAATTCTTTAACTCTTCAATTTCAAGCGGTGGTTTGTAAATAATAGGGGCTTGTAGAGATAATTAAATTCCAAGATTTAGTAGATCAGCTTAACAAGTAGTGGCCAGAAGTTTATTTTTTAAAATTTGCTGATAGGGAAGAATAGAGCTCTGATTCTGTATCTGAAGGGGGATAGAGAATCAATAGAATATGCTGTTTAACAGCTTGTTTGCTGTAGGTAACGGTGATGAAGATAAAAGTATAACATTTTGCACAATGTAAAGAAAGGCTGTCTCTTGTAGTTCTATTTCCTGCAAGTTTAAAATTAATGGAGGAGGAAAAAATCTATGCATGTGAAATTCGAGTCTGTTACCTATTTCTCAGCTGTTCACTATAAGCATATTAACATTAATTAAATTACATTAGTTAATAACATTAGTAAAGTGGGAATTCTGTCAGGATAACCAAAAGAGTGCACTACTACCAAATGTTCACTATATGGCAGGTTCATTATTGTAGGATTCAATTGTATATCTGCTAGTATTTTATTATATATAATTTGGCTTTGCTTGGTGTAATACATTTTATTTCATTATTTTGACCACAATAAACAAAATATATTTCTGTCATTTTGTAATACTTTTTTCAGATTAAAGCATTAAATTATATTTATTTATCTAATTTTCATTCAACTACATAAATTAATTTTGAGCATTTCAATTTTGCAATAAATCATATGCATGAGAATTAGTATTCGTTTCTTATATATATACCATTTCTGTTCTAAAATTCAATTTGTAGAAATCTGCTTAATATTTTAGTGTTTAATCTTTTTTTGTAAAACAATTTGTGTTATTTAGCTTCTAATATATATTTTTATTACTTCTTCAGATACTTACTTGTGCTATGATGTGGCCTGATGTTGAAAACCTATCTGTTAAAGATAATTATATTTCTAACCTGGACTGTCCATTGTATTCCATGTTATCTAATTTGAGCTGTTTAAGTTTGAACAATAATTGTATCATTAGCTGGAGTGAAATATGCAAATTAGGCATTTTACAAAGGTAAGATTTTATTTTCTTTCAATTTATATTTCATACTTCAATATAATATTTCTTATAGTAACTTCTGGGCAACAAAGCTTTTATCCGTCATCTTATTAGTTTTAATCAGGGTTTGCAAGGTTTAGGACAGAGTGGATTAATCCATGGTTTAAACCTTCCTATCCAAAACCCTTTTACTCAAATTATGTCACAGTTTTATTTGAACAATGTTTAAAAGGTAAAATAAACATAGAACTAATAACATATTGATAATTAAATCTACTAGAGAATATTTGTTTTTAAAAGTATAATGTTTTATTAATATTGTTTGACTCTTCAATTTAAACATTAAACAAAGGAAGATTAATCAGTAATCAAGTTCAATTGTTCCTCTCATTCAATAGTACATAACTGAAGTTTGACCTTGCCATACAGGTTAAGCTATTAGGGACTAAGTGCTTGGTTAGTCATAAATAGGTTTATTTATCTATAGTACTATTCAAGAATACTTTTATTTCATTCATGTTCGATGCTTTTAGCATAGTGGACATCACCAGTGTCAGCAACTGAAACTGATGTTACGCCCTTCAAAACTGTTAATACTTTTTTCAGTTATTTTGTATTTCCAATTTAAACTAATATATTTATATTTATTTAAACTAATATATTTATATTTAAAAACAATTTTTTTAAAAATAGATGTCTTTTTTTATCATCCTGTGATGCAGAAATTATAACAGTTTTTTTAAAAAATATTGTGAAAAATGAAAGGTTAATTTTAAACAAATTTAGTATTTTTTTTAGAAAATTATTATTATTTTTTAATATTGCATTATTTATCCTTATGCAAAAACATTATTTATCAGTATTAAAAGCATATTTATATTTAAAGGATTAGGTATTCACTTTTGTTGTTCAATGAATTNAATTTTGTACTTGAACTTATATTATACATATTCATGAATTTGCTATAATAGATTATGTCTTATGAGGAATTATTTGTAATACATAGTGAAAAACTTGAAATTTTAACATTGTCGACTTAATGTGTAACATACTTGATATAATGCAATTTAAGCTTTTTTAGATAAAATTTAGGAAATAAATAAAAACAAATGTACTAAAAATAAATAAGTCAATTGTACAAATGAAATAAATGTGAAAAATTTGTACTTAGTGCCAGAATTTTTTAGTAATAATGAATTTTAACTTTAAATTGGCTTTTTCTCAAAATGTGTTTTTTTTAGCTGCGTGTACCTTTTTCTCAAAAACTACTGAAGATAAATTCTTAAAATTTTTACAGCTCATTATTAAGGGCTTAATACATATACTGAGGTGAACTTTTTATGATTATTCATAAAAATAAATGTGTGGCTGTTAAAAACATACTGCAAAATGACATTTTTTCAGTAGTACTCAGCTTTTATTTTTTTTAAAAAAAATAACAATGTGTATGGATAAACTTTTCACCTCTGTATATGTATAAGTGTTCATATAATCACCATAAAAAATTTCAGAGCTCTATGTTTGATACTTTCTCAGAAAAAGGTACACGAAGTTGGCCGTTTTAACATTGTCGGTATAGAGGGTACCGACTCCCCTTAGACAGTAGAACCCACGTGTCCTGTCCAAAACCAGTTTAGGATGTCCAAAACCCCAACCCTGGTTTTAATCTCTGCTAGTTAGAATTTATGCACTGAATTTGTTTTTTTAGTGATTGTTTATACTAAGTGTGTATTTCTTTTTTTTTTAGCTTGAAAGAATTGCAGTTAGATAATATAGAATTATGTTCTATAGAATTTATTGCTGTCTCACCATTAGAGAAGACAGAATTATTTCGAAATTTAGAGTCTTTATTTGTAAAGAATAATTGGTTAAAAAAGGTATGGGTTTTAGACATTTATTTGCAATCTATGTAATGTCTACTAACATTTTGACAATTATGTGTATACAGTGTTCTCCCTAACCGGTTTTAGAAGGGTGGCCCACCCCCTCTGCCCTTTGATGTCTATAAATGCTCCATCCTTGCCCATTTTGTAAAAGTAAGCCGCCATCCCTTAAAAGCACTGTCTTTTTATTTATTTATTTCCGGAAAAGATTTATTTTTAACCACCTGCTCTGATTTATTTTGTTATTGATAATTATTTAACTTTAATTTCATTTCTTCATTTTAGTAAGATTTTTCTTACGTTGTCTAGTTAGCTAAAGTTAGCATGAAATTCGGCAGATATTCTCCTTTTTCATTTGAGAGGGGGTATATTAATATTATATTTTACACTTTACCATTTAATTAATTTTAATAAATGCGTTTTTATTTAAAAATGCCCCTTTAAATATTTATTTTTTCATAATTTTCAGTTTAAAATGTAAGTAAAAGCTTTAAAGTTGTTCATCAATTAATCCTTTTTTTTTTTTTGAAGAAAATTGCTTTGTTTTTTAGCTTGCCTTTAATTATTTTTTAAACGCTTAAACTTTTTCTGTTACCTTGATAATGAGTGAAAATTACTTTATGAAATATACTTATAAAATATTATAAAAGGGTAATTTAAAAATTAATGATCAAATTCAGTTTTTGCATAATATTACATATTTTGATAAATTTTAACTGTGTTAAGTGTAACTCTTTCAAAACTCAAAGTGCCTTTTTCTGAGAGTAAGCTCCCTACCCTTTTCTATCCATAGGAGAACTCTGTGTATATATAGGGTGAGAAATATAAGATGTTACACTTTTAATAAATTTGAATCTAATCATATGCAATCTTAATAGTTTGAGAAGCCTTTCTAATATACAATTATATTACTCTCAAGTAAATGCAGAACAGTGTCCATATACAGTGCAAGCATTACAGTACAGTAAATATATTATAGTACCACTGCCCATGAAAATCACTTTCTCTCTTAGAATATATAATTTTATAAGACATTTGATTTTATAAATGAAAAAGTTAAAGATCAGAATTACAATTTACGAATTCACTGAAAGTTAAATTGATTACTATATTTAAATTTAATTTCCTCTGAATCTACTTTTTAATAAAAATGAGCAACATTTTTTAATTTCCAGAAGGATTTTAAAATAGTAGCGTATTTTTTTAATTATTAAAATTTAAAATTAAAGTTTAAATATGGTTTGAAAGTTCATAAAAGTTTTTGTAACTTTCAGTATTTTATTTTCTTTGCGGTACAGTTCATTTTAAAATATCTGTCGTTTTTCTGACATCTATTGCAGGTAGATTTAGGTTATTCAATGAATGATGATCATTGACATTGAATGATGAAAGACAGTCAATGACTTTTCTTAATTCATTAACTGTTTTAGATTCTGTTACAGTCCCATTTTATAATTTTTTATCTCGCCCTTTAATTTCCCTAAGAAGTGCAATCTATGCCAATTAGTTCTTTTTGTTCATAGAGGACAGAATGAACTTTAATGTTTATATGCTTTCAAAACTTCAAAAATAGAAAATTCTAATTAATTGAACAAGAAAAAGTAAAGTTTTTCCATATTTTAAAAATATTTCCTTTTGATTTTATGAAACAGTGATAAGGATTTTATAAAGGGATGGTTTTGATATGTTTTGTTGTAATGATGCCTTTCATGCAAATTTGATTTTAAAAAGCTGATGATTTTACGACATAATGATTTTATTAGTGGCGGTTACTCCATAAATAATAATACTCTATAAAATTAGGCATGGAAATGTACTTATTCGGAATAAACATTCATTTTTCTTGCAGAATTCAAATTTCTATCCTACAAGATAAATAAAAGGGTAGCTACTATTTAGAACATAATGTTAGAAAGTTTGTTCTATTTAATGCTTTTTCATATTTCTCCTTATCTCTGCAACTATTTACACCAGTAAAAATACTTTTGCTCTTAATATTTAAACATGTTTTTATTAATTTAATTTTTGTATTTATTCATATTTTTTATAATAAAAAAAATCCAAAAACTATTGAATGAAACTGGATAATAATTGTTTTTGGGAAAATAATTAAAAAATGTCGTATTTTTGAATTTTTTATTCTTTAACATCTATTGAATTTCAGATTTTGATATTTAAAATTACTTTTTATTTTAGTGCTTGAAAAATTGTATGTCTTATAATTAAAATTATTATGATTGTTATTAAACTAAAAAACAAAAACAGTGTCTGATTATTAAAAATTATTTTTGCATTAAATTATCTTTATGTAGATGATTTTTTTATGTAAGTACAAAGATATTTTGCTGTGCACAATAAGTTTTAATGATGTGAGAAAACAGCCGCATATAACATTTAAAAGCTGAAACCTTTGTTTGGTCTCCTGAATATACTATTGGCATCATATTTTCAAGTTAAAAGTTATTTTGGGAAATCTTAACTCCATTGAAAATTCTGAGGTATTGTGTTTTATGTATTTGATTTTATAAAATAAACTATTATTTGCATCAATTGGCATATCTTGTTTAACTTCAAACCTTGAAGACTACATCAGAATTTGTAAGAGTTTGATTTCTGGATCAAAAGATATTTAAGATTTTACATATTTTATGCATTGTTACTTAAGACTATTCAACATTGATTAATTTTTTTTTTTACTTATGATTGTTTTTAGTGGCAAGATATTAGTGAATTGAATAAACTTATCAGTTTGAAAAATCTTGTTGTAACCAATAATCCTGTTCTTTCATTGGAAAGTCCTGAAACTTGCAGACAATACATTATTGCCAAAATTCAAAATCTGGAAAGACTTAGTAGGACTGAGGTACACTATTGTTTTGTTTGAGTTTTCTTTATATTAAAATGAAAATTATATATATATATATATATATATCAGGGCTCGAAAAGACTCAGAAATTTTACCCGTCCCTGAGGACGGCTTGTCCAAAAATATACCTCCTCTTTTGAAACTAACCCGTAGCTTCTAAATAAGTAAAAATATAATTTTCTCTTATTTATTACAAATCATTTATTATTATTAAATTGCACAATGAATTAGTAGTTACTAGGATTACATTATGCAGCAATGAAAGAAAAACTAGGTTACTAATAGTAACCTAGTATTTCTTTTATGAAATAATTTATTCCTTTTATGAAATAATTTAAATGACAAAAGTAAGTTATCTGGAATGTCAATTTATCCGAGGGTACTGCATTTTTTAAATGAATCAAATATGACGTTTACCAGTTCCACAATCAAGCCAATGATTTACAGAGGTTTCTGCACAGAAATCTGAAAGGGGTTTTCCATTTAGGTAGATGTTCACAATTGCGTTTAACGCTTCTTATTTAAGACTAGTATGTAATGTGTTTTTTGTAAGTTCATTGCTGGAGAACCCCTTTCAACCACTGCAGTACTCCCAGACAGAGAAAACATCAATTCCACCATGCGCAGTATGTTGCTGTAATGTGGGTAGACTCCTGTAAGATAACAAAAATTTAAATGTATCACGAACATTAACGGGAAAATGGCTGTCCGTGCGGACACCAGATTCGAGAAATTCGTTGCCCGCGAGGAAACTGTCCAAAAATGCCTTAAAAGGAAAACATTGTGCAAAAATATATAAAACAAACTGCAAATGTCATCAAAATCTGGATCTTAATTATTATTATAAATTTATTTCACACAGACTTTCGATAGTAGTTTTTAATCTTCATGGAAGTTGCTTTGCTAATGGGTACTTGTCAACAGTTATAAAAGAGCATAAATAACGTTACACAACAATTTTAATAACGTTGAATAAACCTTAGTGTTATATAGATTTTTATAACACTAAATAAATTATAAAATTCTTATTCAAACACAATTTTGAAAAAGGATTCTAATAATTTTTTTCCAAGTAAGCAAATTAATAGTACTTGTTTAAATAAAATTTTTATAAAAAGGGGTAAATAAAACTTTTAAAACAATTCTAAGAACGAATTCTTTTGTTGATTCTGATTTATTTTTAGAATCTTCTTTCCTCAGAGTATTGAACATATTTATGGTGAAGAATTATTCAGTTTTATTTTGTAATTTTTATTAATTTCTACTTCTTTTTGTTCCAAATGAAGAAATATCTTGCAAAATTGAAAATTAAATTATTATCATTAGCTGTAAATAGTAATATTTTTAAGAATGAATGGACCTAGTAATAAAGTAATTACTAGATCATTGATTATCAAAATGTTTAAAATTAGGATCTGGTTAGATATGCTCCTTAGAAGATATACTCCTTTGGTTTATGCATGTTATAGGTTAGGGTACTTATGTATGTTTATACATTTTAGGTCGAAAGATCAGAGAGACGAGGAGCTGAACTGGATTACATAAAAAAATTCTACAAAGATTGGCTTCTAGATGATTGTAGTAAATGTGAAATACACAGTAAATCAACATCTCCATTTCTAACTTTGCATCCAACCTATCCAGAATTACTCAAAAGTAAAGAATTATTGTTTTATATTGCAATGAAAATATAAATTGTCCGTGAAAGAAACTTTTTCAACAAATGGTGACACTACTGGAATGTTTATTTGAACTTTAAAAAAAATTTCTTTGCTTTGAAAAAATTTCTTTTTGCTATTCTTTTTTATTAATTTGTTTTCAGAATAATATTTCTACACCAAGTACTGTTCTCCTTGCTAAGGCTTTCAAGCTTGACCTATCATTTAATTTTGTATTAATCCTCAATACAATCTTTTATATCAATTAAAAACGGTATTCTAATAACTGAAAAAGGATTTTTTATTTATTTTTTCTCATAATTAATTCTTAATTATGAAATTTCTTACTAGAATGTAAACTTCTGCACGTACAAGTATATTATGACTCTTCAGACAAAAAAAAAATATGTATATATAATAAATGTCCTTATAACAACTCCGGAACTTTTTAGTTTTTAGAAAATTTATTTCTGGTACATCCTCCCTTTTTTCTTACTTACTTGGTGCATTACGTGTGTTTCGAGTTGATGTCTATTGTTTTTAGCAAAACATTAAGCTATGAAATTATTTCTGGTAATAAGTCAGTGTCTAAATTTTTTTTTCAAAATTGCAGATTTTATGTTTAACATATATACCTAATTGGCTTATTAAAAAATTGATAAGAGTGAAAAAGAGTTTAAGAAAAGCCAAGTGTAGTATATATATCTAGAAAGAAAAAGTATATTTCTAAATCTTTCTTTACTATTGACATTTAATGAGTTTTCTAATAAATAAATTGTAAGATTCATGATTAAAACAAGCTTTTTCTTGGGTCTATTAGTTTCAAAATGTACAATTTTTTATTGCATAAATTAGATTTTTTTAATGAATAATTTCGATTAATCTCTCTTATCTTTTGTAAACCTTGATTTTCATGTAATTTTGAGAAGAAAAAAGAATCTTTTTTGTTCCTCTAGAATTATAGACGGAGGGAAGAAAAACAATAAAATATTAGAATCTATGTTGTTATTTCAATGCAGTGACAAGATATGGTATCTGAATGTTTTGACTTTCAACTATACAAATAACTTCCATATTTTTTGAAAATTAACTTTAATTTTAGCCATTTATTAAATAATGCAAACTTATTTTTTTATAATTGAATTATTACAATGGTCTTTTTACAAATGAATTATTATTCTTGGAATTTTACATTTTACTATTTTTAAACCTATGTATATATTTTTTTACCCCTAATATCAATGCTGTATTAATTATGTGTTAATTTATGCTGTATTGATAATATGAAGTTAATTTATGCTGTATTGATAATGAAGTTAAAGCTGCAGAAAATTCTGACATCATGGTTTTATAAATTATCTAAAGTAAAGATTCCCTTTGTCATTTAATTGTAATAATTACAAACTATCTAATTAAACTTATTATTAAAACCAAAAGTGTTCTGCAATTTTTATCACTTATGATAAGTTTAGTAAAATGAAATTAGTGAAATAATAAAATGGTTTTAAGTTTTTTAGATAAATAAATTTTCTTATAATTAAATGAATATATAGCTCTTGGAATTTTTATTGTTTTATAACAGTTATAGTGCAAAAGCTGTTTAATCATTGTGCCTAGCTAACTTTATGGCACTAATATTCTCTTTCTTTGCAGAAAGAGAAAAATCTTCAAAAATTTTACGTATCATAATTATTAGTTGTACATTTTGAAAGATTGGGCTTAAAACTTAAATGTTGCAGAATAAATTAATTGTTCATTGAAAAGTTACGAGAACAATTATAAGTGAAAGTTAAGACTTAGTCCCTGTTTTGATTTTCAAAGATTATAAAATATATGTAATTCATTAAAATAAATAATTTCATTTTAATATTTTATAATAATAATTTAATAAATATGAGGGAAGAAAATTTTCCAGTTTTCATGTAATAAAAATGGATGTATTTTGGTTTAAAAGTATTTTTCAGCTTCATAAGGGGAAAAATACATGTTTTCATTATTGTATTTCTTTTCTTGTTAAAAAAAGACTTTAAACTTTTTCACTTATAATTTTTAGTTCAATTTTTTCATCTGTACAAATATAACCATTTCTAAAAGTTTTAAATGCTCTTTAAAAATGTAATTGATTGCAACATTTAAATTGCATGCTAGATTACATATTAATTTGTGTGTTTATTAAATATATATAATCAATATTTCATTTTATTTTTTTCAGAACATGGTATTCCTGATGAAAGTGAATTTAAAGTTAAAAGCACTTTAATAAAAGATAATTTAGTCTGTATCCTTTTTTTTAATACCACTACACCCTTTTCTTTAATTGGTAAAATATGGTAACTTTAACACAAAAATGTATAAATTATGAAGGAAAAAAATTCATAAACATGAACAAAGAGCATTTATCTGAAATCATGTTTAAAAGTTGCATTATTTATTGTATTCTTGCATTATTTCATTATTCTAGTTACTACATTATTTTAAAATTCTAGTTCTACGTTATTTCTAGTTACATTATTTTGTTTTGATATTCTTATCATTTTAAGTTTAGAATATAAGACAATTTCTTGCTTTACTTTCTTAACTCAATGTAGTTGTTCAATTTTTCTGCCCATCAAGTCCAAGCAAACCTCAACTTTCAAAAAAATTACCAGGTAATTTATGTTCATGGTAATACTTTTTTTTTGCTGATTTGCGAAATATATTTATGACATGTATAATTTTAAAATTACAAATTTTTTTTAAAAATAAATAGCTTGATTTTATCTAACTGTTATGAGGCAGCTGTCGAAATGTGACCTAAGTTTTTGGACTTTCATATTACGAAGATTAATGTTGTAATTGTGTCAAAACGTCTAATAACTGTCTTTTTTTCAAAACATCATTGTGTAAGGAAGAATCTCATTTGCACAAAAGCCGAGGGAAAGTGATGAAGGTGTTTTTAAATTATGAGGGCGCCTTTCACTGCAAATTTGTTCCTGAAGGCCAAACTATCAATAAAGAACTTTACTTGGAGATCCTTAAACGACTATGAGATGCAAGCAGACAAAAACGATCTGAAAAATGAGCTAACGATTGGTTTCTTTGACACCGCAATGCTCCCCCATATCGTGCTTTGATCATGAAAAAGTACCTTACCAGACACTGCATTACCACTCTAGAACATCCTCCTTATTCTCCCGACCTAGCATCAAGGGATTTTTACCTGTTTCCACAGCTGAAAATAATTTTTAAGGGGGCACCATTTTGTGGATTCAGATGAGGTGATCGTAAATGCGATGAAGAAACTCAAGGACTTTCAAAAAATGGATTCCAGAAGTGTTTAAAGCAGTTATATGATCACTGAAAGAAGTGTGGGGATGCAGTAGGAAAGTACTTTGAAGGCTAATAAAATAAAATCATTGTTTATTTTTTAATAATTTGTAATTGACCTATTCCGGGAACTTTTTAACTCTACTATATATGATCATATGTTGGGTAATAATGTGTATATTATTAAATTTTTTAATTGTAAAATAGTGTAACCAAGATAGTCTCTTCTCTTCCTTATCCCCCAAAATTAGCAGGGCTAAATAATGTCCATGAAATTCATGACCTGGAGGAAGTCGGCCACCAAAATTGGGTTATTTAGTATGTCCCTCTTGTCCATATGTTGGGGAGAAGCCTGGATGTTGTGGCACCTCGGGCAGTTTGGGAAGATTTTAATACTACCCTCGAAGGAAAGAGACTTAAGGTGGCCGCTGTTAATTCATGGTTGGGGTAATAATGCATCTTCTGAAGTCCTATGACTGGAGATACCACGATAGTAAATGTCATGTTAAATTCTTTATCAAAAGTTGTAAGTAAGTATATTAATAGTTTTATATTATTAAGGAAAATAGTTCCTTCAAAATTATTATTTTTCTTTTTACTTTTGAAGATATTTTCTCACAGAAAATTATGACAAGCTAAAATTGTTCACGAAAATAAAATCTCGCTAAAAATTTTCTCAAAAATGGGTATTAAGTTAAAAATCCAAAATTAATCTCTGCATTCACAAACTATTTTAAACAGTTTGAAAATGTTGCTTTTGTCACCGGGGAATTTATTATTCTCTATCTAGTTTAAGAAGGCAGTAATAAATAAAAACTTACCAATAGAGCGGAAAGGCATCACACACTAAATGTAAAAGTTTTTTTAAATTAGTTTTATTTATCAACCCTTGTCTTCTTGATTTTTGGTATGACATATGAATTTTCTAATTGTAGAAATGTTTTATTTCAGCATTCCTAATTGTTATTTTAGAAGCTACTGCAAATCAAATTATCTTTCTTTATTTGTAAACACTTATCACACTAAACTGTTACTGGTTAAATATATAAAATAGTCTACCTTTGGCCTCTGTTGTTAGAAACTTGATTTAATGTGCTGTTAGAACTATAGTGTGATTGTGAGTAAACCTATCAAAAAAGTGTAAAATATATAGGTTGACTTGAATTATGTTTGTATTTAGTGTATAGCTCATTTTTTAATTGTATGAAACTTCCTTTAGAAACAGACACAATTCAAGTTTGTGTATAGATTTTACAGTTTGATACATTTTTAAGTGGAAAGAAATTTTGAATCACCCAGTTTTTTTATAAGCAAAAAGAAAAATATAATAAACATTACTTTTCTTTTAAAACATGCTACAATTTCCTGTTATTCAACTTTTATAATATTATGTATTTTTTTAATGTGAAACCAATTCTCAATCTATTGCTCACAAACTTTTGAGGCTAGTTTTTTTTTTGCTGAAATTAATTTAAAATGTTAAATTTTATTATCTTACTGTGAAGATTATTAATGTCATGAAAGTGCATCAATTTTCTTGTTAAATATATGTTATGTGCATAATTTTTTCATGCCTATTTCTTTCCTTTTTTTTTCAAGCGGAAATGACCATTGGGAAGTTAAAAGCTCTTGTGAAGCGATTATTCAAAGTACCTTCTCTTGAAGTTAAGTTATCCATTATATCTAATGATGTAAGTTTTTCTGCCTTTTTAAATAATTACCTTTTAGATTTCACTTAAAATTTGTGTAGAAATAGTTTATTTTTTTCAAGTTACGTGCTTTTATCATATTAATGTTTTAAAATATTAAAATGTTTTTTTGTATAGTATTTCTCTTTTGAACTAACTATGAAAGTAAAAAGGAAAAACATATACTGTTTCAAGAATTTATTTACCAAAACAGATATGTTACATTCACATTCCATACACATATACACATTCACTCTCCATTAAGTTCTTCTATAATCACTGGCAAAGGCTCTCTCTCATTGTTGATTTCTTTAAAAAAAATCCACACTTTGGAAAATAATTTTTCAGTGTTGTTCACTTGCATCATTATTCCAAGCACAGGAAACCAATCTCCTAGCTTCAAGCATATCACTCTAAATAGAAAAGTTGTTCTTAATATGGTTTATTGTTCTCTAGACTATGCTTCTGTGATAATATTGCTTGAGGCACTTTATGAAGCCCTGATCCATCAGCAGCTGCCTCATTGTTGTGTTTGTCTAAAACTGAAAGTTTATTGCCAACTAGGCACAGTACATTTATCCACAAAGGGATAACTTTTTAATTTTTAGCATGAAATGTTCTATCTAATTTCCTCACAAAGATTTCAAGATCTCAAGATTTATACTCTAAAAAAAAAAAACGTTTTCAAATTTTTGAAACAACAGGGATTTTGATAATCTCCAGTCACAATAGAAGCCAATTTTTTGGTACCGGATGCATTGCCTCTGACTAGGAATGTTCAGCACACTTTGCTCATTTTGCCTCCTGAGCAATCTTTGAACATCATTAAGAATACATTTTAAAAACAAAAACCCAATTTCAGAACTTCTTTCTTAAAGTGTTTTTAAAGCAAATTGGCTAGGGTTTCGTTAATTCACTCTTCACATACTTCATTAGAGACATTTATAGCTCCACTGTAGACTAAAAAATGATGCTATGTCTAGTTATAAACATTTCGAGACACCCAGAGCTTGCATTCAAATTCCCAATCTTCATCAAAGCTGCAAAATTCTTTGCTTTATCAAGAAGAAAAATCCTGCTTATGGAAACTGCATTATTCCTATGTTGTTGGAACCTATGTTGTTGGATTGCTGAATTCCTATGTTGTTGGAACCATTTAAAAACAGCTGATTTCACCTCTGAAAAGGTACACTTTTTCATTCTTTTTAAATGAGGGTTCATGCATTCATAGCAGTTTTAGAAGGTTTTTTTTATATTTTTAAATTGTTGAACGAGTGATTGGTGGAATTTTAATGTTAAATCTTTTTTTTTTTATGATCATTTTTTGAGTTCTTTCCACATCATTAATTCGATTAACTTTTCTCTAAACTCAGAATTTTTAATTATCACTGCCATGTGTCTAACTCCTGGTGAATGATTTTAGGCTGCAAACGATGAACCTAACCCCCCCTTTTTCATTCAGAGACTCAGTAGTTGTTGTTCAAGACAATTCTAAAGAGTAAAATATGCCGAAAGAAAAATATTAAAAAAAACTACACTCAAGGAATGATATCTTATTCTTTGTAAAGCTATATTTAGCTTTATTCTACGATTTGAAAATTTATACAATGAACAACAAGTGCACCCATCACACTTAACAAATACAAAATATTTTCATGTGCGGATGGGGATTTCTTTATATATATATATATGTATGTAACATAAAAAGCTTCAACTAATCTTTTTATGTTATTCTTTTATCTAAATCCTTTTCTTAATATATTATTTGAAACTAAATGCTCTTCCTCACACTTTAATATTTTACACTTTAATATTATTGTTTTTTAATCTTTTTTTGGCTTCAAGTATACATTTTAACGTTTTTCCCTTTACAAACTCCTGAGAAAGACCTTTTCCCTTGACCTATTTAATAGACCGATTATAATTATTAATATTTCCCTTATTCCCTAAAACAAAACATTTTTACGGATTTATTTTGCAAGATTCTCCCTAACTTTTCATTGAGTAGCTCTTCGATTTTGTGTCATTTCGATGGTAGCTCTTCATGAATGTGTCTTAATAAATAATAATTATGTATACCCTGGTGCCTGAAACCTGCCTATTGCAACCTCTTGGTGACGTTCTGATATATATATATATATATATATAGGCATGTTCTTTAAGTAAGTACAGTTTTGAAATTAAAAAAAAGACGTGCAAAGATATCTCAATAATTTTATTTTTACATAAAAGCGTGTACTTTAATCTACTTTTCTATGTAATTTTCTTCAACATTGAGGCTCTTGTCATAATGCTGTACCAGTTTTTGAATACCCTCCTCACAGNGTGTTTTCTTAAAGCTTCAAGTATGCATTTTAATTCAATTTTAACGTTTTTCCCTTTGCAAACTCCTGAGAAAGACCTTTTCCCTTGACCTATTTAATAGACCAATTATAATTATTAAGATTTCCCTTATTCCCTAAAACAAAACATTTTTACGGATTTATTTTGCAACATTCTCCCTAACTTTTCATTGAGGAGCACTACAATTTTGTGTCACTTCGATGCTAGCTCTTCATGAATAGGTCTTAATAAATAATAATTACGTATAGCCTGGTGCCTGAAACCTGCTTATTACAACCTCTTGACGACGTTCTGATATATATATATATCTCTATACACACACGCACATATATATTAATGTATATATACGTATATATATATACGTATATACATATATTTTTTTAATATGTTATTATAATATTACATCTTATTAATACCTTCTCACAATTGAAATACTTAAGTGGGTTTTAAGTGTGAACTGTATTTACTATGTTTATATTTTCATCATTTACTACCTTCATACCTGTTTCATGCATTATCAATATATGACTGGAGAGCTGTGAGATAATTTTAAATCTTGTACGAGCGCCGTACCTTAAAACCCCCTACTATGCCCGAATTAGATTTAAATTGTTGATGAAAATTTATGATTTTTTTTTCTTTTTTTACTTTTGGTGATAAAGTCATTCTTTTATAGGATACATCTCAAAGAACTGATTTGAATAATAATTTGAGACAGATATCCTTCTACTCTATTTCTGATAAAGATAAAATTGCTGTTGAATGGTGAAATTATATGTAAGTAAACATGCTTAAAAATTTTGATAGTTGTGCTACTTATTTTATTTTTAACAGATGTTTATGTATGGTGTAACTTGAATAACAAAAAGTGTCTTCAGAAATAATGATTGATTTGCGAACAACATAAAAGATACAAGCTGATGGCATTGTCATGCCATCATAGAAATTTTCATATTTCATAACTTTTTAATTTTCTTTATTTTGTAAAATTTATATTCATTTTTAATTTTTCTCTGTACCTTTTTTAGATAGATAAATTAGCTAATTAGTTTTAATTCAATTTCATGAAAATCAAATGTTCCTTTTCTTTCTCAATAAATATAATGGCTAATTTTTAATTTAATTGAATCACATAATAAATTATTATTCACAGTTATTTAAATAAGTATCAAAATATTTTTAAACTTCCTTTCTTAAAATTAATTTTATTTTTGCGTAAAAATATATTGTTTCAGTTACCAGACTACATTGAATACTAATTGTCATTTTCGCAGTTGATGTGTATGCCAAATTGTTTACATTTAACTTTAGATTATGCGGTTTTGGCTTTATTTTTGGCTGTGTTATTTCTCTATAAATCGCTAGTAATTGATCTCTTTCCAAGCATCAGTTATAGAATAAACATACACTTTGTGTTTGATAATGACGGCTGCAGCACTAGGCAGTATTGGCGTTCCATGGCCCCTCAGTCAAAAAAAATAATATTTTTTAAAAATTCATATTTAGAAATTTGCAGAATTAAAAAAAAAATTCTGGAAAGGTATGAGTAAAAGTTTTTATTTTAAATAGAGCCATTTTACGACACAAATTGCTTCTTACATCTTACCAAGTACACACACCCACACAAAGCACATTTTTTAAGATCTGCAGATCCCCATTAAAGAGAAGATAGTTCGAAGAAAAAAATTTCTACAAATTTCACAACCATCAAACTGAGGCCCCATGGGACTGCAAGTCCCCCAGCTCCTTAGCCGCTGTTATCAAAGGAAAAGTGTATTGCAAACTCTTAACTGACGCTTAGATGCATGAAAAAAATCCATTGCTGAGGATTTATCGTAAAATAACACTGCCAAAAATAAAACTGAACTGGTATTATCTAGTGTTAAATTTAAATAATTTGGTATACTCTTTAAACACCAAAACAATCATTAGAATTTAATCTAGCCCTGTAACCGGAATATTAAAAATAGATTTTCATACTTAGTTAAATAACCTTGGAAAATAATTAATTATGCATAATAACTGAATAATATGTTAACTGTTACATTTATTGGGAAAGGAAAAAGATGAAATTATTTGCATTTTATGAAATTAAATGAAAATTAATTAACTAATTTAATCTATTCAAAAAAGGATTGAGAAATAATAATTTTATACATTTTTTAAAATAAAGAAGTTAAAAAATTAGGAAATATGTAATGCCTATAATGGCATGGCAGGCACCTAAATATTAAATATTCATTAAATGTCTTTAAAAATGTTCTTCTTTTTTATACATATGTACAGTGCGTTAAAAAGAAACAGACCACCCTAAACAACTTTTGATCCAATGATCGGACCTTTACATTCTGGGACTCAATCTTAATGGTTCAAGAGGGTCACGTCAAATATGCTAATTAATTACAGACGATATTTTAAGTTAGGAAATTAGACACAGAAACGTACTTTCTCCAAATAAACATACCTTTTTACCAACAGATATAGATTTCTGTTCCTCAAAATATTGGGTAGTCGCAATCTGAAAAATTTAGTCCCAATAAATTAACTAACAGAGCAGTCGAAAGTTTGAACCCCTTAATGTTAATTTCATGTTTTGCCTATTTCGTTATTTCTCTACTTTTTTCGGTGGATTCGGATTTTCGACTCTTAAAATATAGGAGTAGCCGCAATCTGGAAAATATGGTCTCCATGGTTTTGGTCCAGCGAGCAATCCAAAGTTTGGACCCTTTACTGTTAAAAAGTTCGCTTAAAACGTTCTCAAGATGTGACAAAATAATCAAAAAATAGAATTAACATTAAGGGGTTCAAACTTTGGACCACTCTCCTGACCAAACTATTAGGACCCTATTTCTCAGATTGCAGCTAGGAGTCAAAAATCCAAAGCTGTAAAAAATAAGGCATGTTCAGAGAAAGTATGTTTTTGTGTCTGATTTCGTAACTTAAAATATCGTCTGTACTAATAAATTAGCATATTTGAGGTAATCCCCTCAAACCATTCAGATTGAGTCTTAGAACGTGAAGATCCGGTCATTACATCAGAAGTTATTTCAAGTGATCTGTTTTGTTTTTGGCTCACTGTATGTCTTTATACTTCTGCACATATTCTAGATTAATATTAAATAATTAGATCAATGAAGTTAGATAAAAATAAATAAGTACACTGAATAAATTATGAAATGTCACACTTGAGTAACTTTTCCCCTAGAAATTAGATCTTTAAATGCCTAAATGCATCTTTTTTTTATATTTTTGATAACTTATCTAATACATACAAAACAGTTAATGTGATTGATAATTAAGTAAAAAAAATATCATTTTCCTGCTCACAACAATAATGATGGCATTCAACACTGATGAGTCCCATCGTCATGATGAGTATCATTATGAAACAGAAAACTCACTGCATCTTGTCACTAAAGACTTTTTTTCTTTTTGTGGTGTATTTATTGTAAAACAATACAATTCTTTGGAAAATGCTCTTATTGTTTATTAAAATTTTGATTTTCTTATTCACAATAATATTAAAATGTGCATTTAATTAATAATGCCAGGAATTTTTCATTTTTTTTTTTAAAGTAAACTTCAGAACACTGAAATGATTATTAGTTTACATTAGTCATTATTGTTATTTTTTATTATTTTCAGATGCCTTGCTGCAGAAAAGAAAAGTGCTATTGCTATTTTAAGTTGTTTCTGATGTAAATATTATTTTAATAAATAATGCTTTTTACAACCTTGTTTCCTTTTTTTATTCAAACTTCAAACTATTCACACGGCTTTTAATTTTTCTTCATCTTATATATATTTTTGATTGTTATATATAAAGTAGATATACTACAAATGCCTTCTTATTATTATTGTAATATTTTTTTAGCGTATAAAGTTATTAATTGTACTTCGTTTTTTATATCCTAAAAGTTTTCATTTCTAAGATTAGGAGTTATTTTATGTTAAGTTTGTATTTAATTGATTCTTGTTGTGAGAGCTTAAATATTTCACCAATAGTGTTAATGTAAATCATTCACATATTGCTTATAAAAATATTTTATTAAATGTTAAATCTTTTTTTATAGCAATTTCTACTTACTTATAAACAGAATTTCTTCTTATATTTCTTCTTATAAACAGAAATATAATAGTACCTAATAAAGCAGCTTGTTCACTACAGAAGTTGCTTTAGTACCCAAATTATCATTTTTTTTTCTTCCTTACTTTGATTTAAATACGGAACAAAGTTATCCCTGTTTTGCTTAAAATTTAATCTTGTCTTCAAACTTATATATGTGTTTTCTTAAAAGAAATGTTTTTTTTTTTAATCTTGTTAAGATTATTATTTATTTTGAGTAACCATTAAAGCATCCATAAATATTTTCTTCTTAATCTTTACTACTTTATCTATATTTGACACTGGATTTTAAATTACATCTTTACTAATTAGTCTTAACCCAAGGGAATAAAAATTTGCGTCATTTGAAATAACTTTCATCAGAAGAATGTAAAAAATCACCAAGAATAAAAGTTAATGAAGAATTAAATCTATCATGATCCAAAATGATTCTTTTGACAACATATCTTATTTGGTTTTCTGCTTTGTGGATTATGGATCTAATCTGACCTGTGCTTATTGAGCGGGCTCAGGTACAAAAATTCTAGGATTAAAATTCTTCCGACTTAAGCCTCTGTAATCTATAGTATACCACATGGCCATTGGGCTTGATATATGCCGAAAAATGTAAATTTTTAAGGATTTGTGCAATATTTTATAGATACAAGGTGCTTTTATAAGAACAAAAACGTAAAAAACTCCTTAGGATGATGCTAGCTTTTGTTTCATTGTATTAATTTTAAATAAGAATGAAAGATTCTGGAAAAGATAAAGCTACTTTTGACTCTTATCATTCATTAAAAAAAACTAACTCAACTTTGGAATTCGGAAATGATTTTTAAAGGTGAGAATCTATTAGTTATGAATTTTTGTTTAAGTTTTGCACCTATCTTCGTTAATGCAAAAGCTATTTGAAGAATAGAAAAAAAGCAGCACATTTCCGCATTGGAAATTTTTTTATGAGGTGGGTGGCTATGACTCATACATTCTGGTTAGTCACCGTCTATGTTTCTCGTGAGCCACAGCCTGGAAGTTCCCAGAACTTCGGGATTATTTTGGATCAGAAACCTTTCCGATAAATAAGGACCCATTAAAGAGAAATAGTTCCGAACAGCGAAGTGTTGGGAACTTCCAGGCTGTGGCTCACGATAATTATAGAACGTGAGTAACCAGAAGACATAGGTCATAGCCACTCATCTCTGAAAGAAAATTTCCGATACGGAAATGTGCTGCTTTTTTTATTTTCTTCAAATAGCTTTTGTATTAACGAAGATAGGTGCAAAACATAAACAAAAATTCTTAACTAATGGATTCTCATCTTTTGAAAATCATTTCTGAATTATTTTGGAGCAGAAACCTGTACAGAAATCTTTCCGGTAATAAGGATCCATTAAAGAGAAATAGTTCCGTTAATCTAAAATGAAGTGGATATTTCCATATCAGAACCTGTCTGGGCCAACTACCTTCACCAAAGGATATTTTGTACTTGCAAAATATTAAAAAAATTATGTATTTAGTGGTTTGCCCAGGACTGACTACAAATTGGTCTTTTCTGCGATGTTTTATTTTTGTATTAGTTTCTCGTGTGGCATTGCCAGTTCTCGTAAAAACTAATCAACTTGCTTAGTACCGGTGCCGATTTTTTCCTAAAATGAGCAAGCAGGGAGTGGATCTCGTGGAAATAGTCTCAACTGATCAGATGCATTATAATATTCCTATTATGAAAATTTTAAAAAACGTATATTTAAATGTACGATTTTTAAAACGAAAATTAAATTTAATCACCTATTGAGAACGAAATGATCGCTAAATTCACCAACCACGGCATTTCATAAAATTCTTATTTTGCAAAGAAGTCGGAAGTTCCAGTATCCAATATTTATTTTTGAAAATTGTTATAGGTCCTTTCCACTGCATGTGGTTATTCAGTGAACTGATCGTAAATACGCAGTTCCCCATATTTAAGGTCTAAGATCTATCTTAACGATCGATTACTAAGCATTACTTGTTGCGGTCAGTAAGCGGATGGGTGATCACTTTGACTGAGGGCGCGGTATCAGTCCTCGTTAAACTGTTTTACCGTAAAGTGTTAGACTTCGCGCGCAGGTGATTGGGTTATTAAAGTGGGGGAGCCATCCCCTCTGCAGAGGATCAAAACTGTAATGGCATGTCTACGAATCATTGGCGATCGAAATGGGCTGCAGGTGGCGTAACAGAACTCTCTACCCATGGCCACACTTCATATGCTTTCTCCACTAGCGTGTGGAGAGTCTTAGAGGAAGGAAGTACGTTAGTTTCTCTCTTGATTTTCATATAGATTAAAATCTTTTAAGTTGGAAAACTATATGGAACTGCAAACTACATAAAACATAGTTCTAAAGAACAGCATCACGGAAATTTTAAAAATATTTTTATTTAATAAAAAGGAAAAATATTAAGAAAAGGGAAAATGTAGTACATTCCTATGCAACTGAAAAGAGGAGGAGAGGGAAGGGAGAACCCCAGATGGCGTATTCGAGCGTTGTGATCGCCTATCCGCAGGGATGTTTCTCAGACCAGTACCAAAAGCCCATTGTGCAGCTCTAGCGCACGGTAAATAAAGTATTCACCCTCTACATACGAAAAGATTGTATGCAAATGATACGAGATTTCACGAATGTATAATTTTCACAAATTTGATTGCGCGAAGAGAAAATTACTGGCAGTGAAAATGGTCTCTAATTTAGGGACCATTTTAATTGGGTTATTTGAAGCAGGTTATAGAGTGAGTAGAAGTAGGCATCCAAAGTCGCCGCATTTATTGATACAAACATACACAAAACTCAGTGATAGTTATAGATTTGTTATTTATGAGAAATTAAGCGTAAGCGTTTGAATAATAAACAGGTATTGTTTATTTAAGTTTCTTATAGGGAGATTAAATAATGGCTCCAACTGTCCAAGCAGGAAATGCTGGTGCTGATCGTGATCGAAAATTGAGACCTGGTGAAAAAAGGTAATGTTGCATATATTATAAATTTATAATGGTGGCCAATTTCGTTCATTGTGTTTAACATTATCGTTCTACTTATGTTTGGATTTAATGAAGACTCCGTTATTGATTGCTTTCATTATGGATTTATTTTATGTAGTATTTTCTATTTTTGTTCTATACTTTATATAAGATTTTATATATTCATTTTTATGAACAGGTCGATATATTCCCCCCTTCGTTTTATAATTTTTTTGTGTTTTTCAAATAATATTACATCTTAGATATTTTCGTATTTGTTTTGAATATTAGAAATAGCACAATTACTGATTATTATTTTTCTGTTTTTTAGGTCTGACTTAGTATGCAGGGTAAAATATTGCAACACCTTGCCAGACATTCCTTTTGATCCTAAATTTATCACTTATCCATTTTCGTCTAGTCGGTGAGTATTTGCGTGAATCAAATATTCTATAATGTATTAGTAAAATCTGGCAGTATGTAACTTGTTGTATTCCCACTAAATTGATAAAATTTTTCTGTAATAATATGTGCATTAAAGCAGCTATATTCTAATTTCTTCTTCGTTAGGCTATATGATACATTTAATTTTCATGACTTGTCATCATAAAAAAGTTATCCTTATTCTCCAGAATAAATTATAAAACATATATTTAATTATTGGCTGTTTTAAAAAAAATTGTGATCTTTTAAGAAACTTTTCTTGCAATTATTTTATTAAATAAGTTAGCTAAGGATGAATCCCAGACCACCATTATTACCCAGGCATGCATAATATACATATGCCATTAGATAAAAATTTGACCACTGCAGAAATTTTACACTGATATCCATATGCTAATCTTGCAATCAATTTTACAAAATTAGGAAACAACAGTTAATTTGGTAAGTCAATAACTAGCTTTATGTCTTTAAAAAGCTGCTAAATGTAAGGAAATATATGCTGGTATATAATAACCTATGTAGAGTTTTAAGAAAGTCAATACACTTAAAAAAAATTTATGTTTTACAAACCTATGCCGTCAGAACGTGTGGTAATCTAAGAGTTGAAACTAAGTACATGAATCAATAAATTGCTTGTAGAACGTTTTTATATAAGAGTTTGTTTTCACAGAAAGTTTTTCATTATATCTAAGTATGCACTTAGCCTTTTGTACCTCTAGTACAATGTTAACAACCAAATCAATAAACATAGTTTCTGTTATGTAGTTATTAGGCTTAATATTCTATTTATTTCCCAAGATTGAATCTTAGAATACTTTGTTTACTCCTTAAATATAGAATCAATATTCACTAGATTACCTGTGTATTGATTATTCATGTAATATTTTAGCTTTGTTAGAAAAAAAAATTTCACAAAAATATGCTTTGTTTTTAATCTATCAGCGAATTGAAACACTATATCAAGACATATAGAAAGGTTTTTTCATTTTTGGTGATCCTGACATGCTTTTGATAAATAGTTTTCAGGTGAAGACAAATTTTGAAAAAATAAATGTAGTTGGCAAGCAAGATCTTTTACAGGGAGGAGCGATTAATTGTCCTAGGACCCAGTCTAAATTCGATACAAAGAATATAGGTTATAAAAGAAAGCTAAAGAGAATTGTTTAATACTTTTATAAAAACTATAATTTTGAACAAATACTCTATGCAAATTCTATAAAATATGAAAATAAGATCAGAATTAGTGTGTTTCAAAGTTATATGGTGTTCAGAGTTAGGAACCCATAGTACTTTTAACCTGAGGCCCATAAAACCTCTGTTTAGCATTGTCAATAAGTTGAAATACCCAAATTTTTTTTTTTTTTGAGAAAATATTAAAAAAATAACAATAATTCTTATTTTCTTAGTTTCAAGGACAAAATTTCATTCCGAAATTCTAGCTTTTAATCATATAATACTTAATCCTATGAGTGTAAGGAAAATATCTACCACAAGGTGCCATACGAGCAGGGAATTTTATCAACTTAAAGGAAGATATAAGTATGTTTTTATTAAATTATCCAAATATTAGGGAAAAGTGTTTAGATTAAGTTAATGTAGTTAAAATGTTTGATTCTTCGGCCTCTCTTAAGAAATGTATGTATTTATCGATTATTTGCACCCTGTGATGACAGCTGCTTTTCAACGTTGGTCAATATGAAAATAAAGTAGCAAATTTTTATATTGTCAAAGAAAAATATTTTACAATGTTATGCAATGTATTTGTTGTCTAAATAATAATGTATTAACTCTTAATAACATCGTATTCAATAATTATCATCGTCATACTCCTCTTATTCTTATGAAACCTTCTCAATAACGCATAGTTTTGTTAGAGCACAGCTAAGCCAATACCTCCTAGATGGGAGGAAAGCCGAAGGACGCAAAACGATGACTCATACAGTTAGGCCCAGATTTGCTGATCACTTCTGACGATGACAGGTTTTTTTTCCTTCTGTTTCTCGACACTTTTTCGTTACTCTTCTACTAATTTTTTACTTTCTACTATTTATTATTATTATTTTTTTTGTCTAGATTAAATGTTCTTAAATTGTGTAAAAATGCTTAATATATTTATTTGTTTTCAGAAATGATTAACAATAAATCAATTCTAACAAAAATAACTGTTGTGTGAATGAAAAAAAATATATTTTTAAGCATTAAATATCAGTTTTATTTTATAAATTGGAAAATTTTATCTAACTTTTTGTTATAAAATGTATGGATTAAAAACAAAGAAATATATTTTTAAAGGGATTTTACACATTTATTATTATTATAGTTTTGACATAAAACTAAGAAAGGGGTCTAATTTTTATAATATGATACTTACATTTTTAGTAGATGATTATTTTGGATTTTAATGATTNATTTTGGTACTATTCAAAATATAAGTGTTTCTTCAAAATTTTAAATTTATTTTTTTCTAGAACATATTTAGAAACACTATCCTTTATAAAAAATATGTAAATTTTATGTATTAATTAAATTTCACATATGAATATAGGTTTTTGACATTTTCGGCATTTTTGACAGTGAGGTTTTTGACTAAAGACGGTTTAAACCTTGGATTAAACTGTCAAAAACTGTCACATGTCAAAAACCTGCCAACCCTGACTCTTAATAACATCATACTCAATAATTATCATTGTCAAGCACCTCTTATTCTTATGAAACCTTCTCAATAATGCTTAGTTTTGTTAGAGCATAGCTAAGCTGGCTGCTAGATTGTCATAATATTAAAAAAATTCTAGATTTTAGTTTAGCTTAAAAAATTTTTGTTTTGATGTATTTACATTTTGTGTACTACATAAATAATGATAAATGATGTAGATCAAGGTAGTCAAAGATTTATCTTGAAAAGAATTTATCTTGTTAATAAAGAATTTATCTTGTTAAAAGAATTTATCTTGTTAATAAGGAAAGACTGGTAAAACAAATTTTCTGAATTTCTGTAGCTGCTTTGTTACTTGAAAGTAATTTCCTCTATTCTCAACTGATATTGTATTTGGCAATTTTAGATTATTTCTATCTTTTATTTTTTTACGTTACCCTTCTTGGTAATTATTGTGAAACTATTAATAGAACTGTGTATCGCTTTCTTTTTTTCCTAGAAAATGAATTCAGCTGTAAAATTTTACCAGAACTCCAACATATTATGGTTGCCGAATAAAATTCTTATCAATATCATAGAGGAAAAACCCTGTCTAGCTTTTTCAATTAATATAAGATTGTGTAATTTAAACTCAACTTAAAAGTATGTCGTTTATCATAAATTGTTGTTAATTTTCAACTATAGATTTATTTATTTTTTTTACATCACATTAATTTTACTGATTGCTTTTGGGTTTGTACTATATAATTGTTATTGTTAAGTTGTATTTTTATTTTGTTTGATAATTAAAATAAATAATGTCATCTGAAAATTTAAAGTCATTTTGCTAGAACAATGCTAATATTTACAGTGCTGCTTTAAATTTTTTAATAAATTTGATCATTATTTCAGATTTGTTGAATTTAAACCGACATCATTAGAAAGAAATTACAAACACGACTTACTGACTGAACATGACTTAGGGGTTACTATTGATTTAATTAATCCTGATGCATATGCCATAGATCCTCATGGTAAGGTGCTATTACAAATTTAATTATTTGGTGCATCTTATATTTTTAATTAAAAGTCTTAATAAATATGCTTGATAACAATATTATGTTTAAAAAATATTAAGCTTATTGCAATTATTTTTATTTGAATTTCTTATCTTACGAAAAATAATATAAACATTTATATCTAATTTATACCATGATCCATTATTAAAAAAATTTATATATTATCAAGATTTTGTTGTTTTAAATATTATAGAAAGTATATTTAAATTTTGTTCACTCATTAATAACAGAGAAGATACAGCTGCGAGAATGAGCTTCAAAACGTACTTCTTGCAACATTTAGCTTCTTACAACATTAGAGTAAAAAAATAGGGAAGTAAAATACTATTTTGATGCAACATATCAACAAATTGAGAAAAACTCATGAAAATAATTAGATTTAGGGACAATAGGGTAAACAATAAAGAACAAAATGTCTCTCACGAAATAATCCCATCAGGAGGGAGTCTTCTTTGCATATACATCAGAAAATAATGTCAAATTTTTATTTTTGTAATAGTTCGTTAAATTTCCCACTTAAACAAATGTTCCACATATTTCAAAACATTCTAAATAGTCACATACGGAAAAATATATTTCACCTTTTTAGGCTTTTCAACAGCATCTTTAACTAACATTTATGAAAACCATCTTTTAACCTGACAAAGTCATTTTTCAACTGATGATCACTCTTTTTCTAAGCCTTCATGAAACCTTAATCTATCTTCTTTTCCTTAATTCCTTAGCAAACCATCTTGAATATCCACTCCCATAAATATCATTGGTCTTGAATATCCATACCAAATAAATATATTTATTAGTCATTGATTAGAATGAAGGGTATTTTAGATCCCCATGCAACTAATGTGTCTAATAAAAGGTTACCCCCACCTGAAATAATGTTTAAGTTAAAACTTAAATACATATTAATAAAAAATATCAAATTCAATTACAAACATTTTGTACTAACCATGTCACTACGACAATCGTATTAATGCAATTTTAAAATCAAACAATACGATTCATGTTCCAGTTTTTAAAAAATGCTCATCGTATTCACACAATTTAAGTTCTACATCAGGATTTGTATTTTCGCGATTTCATATCAAACATCCTATTTCGTGTACTTGATGAAATTTCTATATGATCCTGATCAGTTTAGAATGTATTGTTTTGTTCTAAAGATAAAAACTAAATTTTAGCTAATATGTTTTGTTGCTATTATCTTATGCTGAAAAGTGTTTTACTTTGTTTTATTGTCTTAACTATTTTTAGCCACTCTTCATCCTGATGATGAGAGGTTATTGGAAGAAGATGCTTTAACTCCACAAGATTCTAAAAGGTTGAACAGTTTTCAAACATTCATCTTTAAATCATTATGAAATTGAAACTGATGTATGCTAATGCATGATTTATTATGCAATAATGAAATTCTTTAAGAAGTTCTTAAAATTTTTAATAATGAGTACTTGTAATTTGTTATTTCAAAAAAATTAAGTAATTTGCAAACTTAATATGCATTTTAACTTATGCATTACATATTTTGTATTTAATGCATTTAAGCTAGTGCAATCTTATTTTGTTTATCACTCCTTTGTTTTATTTTTTAGACAATGTCTGTGACCCACAAAAAATGTCTCTAATTGCTTTAATCACAAAAGCTTTAAAATAACAGTTGGTTACATAATTTCTTGCATGATTATGTAAATTTGCTTGTTGTTTAAATATATAATGATCATACAGAATAAGTCAAACTCTTTTTAAAGTAAAACATAGAATAATTCATGAAAAATTGCTTAAATCAGCTTTCAAAAATGTTAGTCTCTAGAAATAATGGAGTAATTGACACAAATACAAAAACTGACTTACCTAAAAGTAGTTTCATGCAAAAAAAAAAAAAAAGCAAAAAAAAGGATGAAATACTTTTTTAATCTTTAATTTCAAGAAGTTTGAAAAAATATTTTATTGTTAGTTATAAAAAGTTTTATATCAGTTTAATTTTGGATAATTCCCATGATTTAAAAATAGTCCCTAATTTCATAATTGATCAAAATATACAGTATTAAACTTACATTTTTGTTACAAATGAAAGCTTTAAATTTCTTTATAAATATGCATGCTTTTATAAATGAATTAGGTACTGTAAATTGAATAATAATAATAATCAAACTATGAGTATACATTAATCACAAAAGTTACGCAAAGTTAACCTTCTTGTATGTTTCGTGGTTGTTGGTATGACATTATAAAATTGTTAAAATGGATATTACATATTGTCTTTGAAATAGAGTAACTTATTAAATATTTCTGAAAGCTCTTTCTAAACTGAATAATTTTAGTTCTAATTGAACCCAGTTTCATAAAGGTGGGGTTTTTTTAAAAAAAAAAGAAAAGAAAAATACTGTAATTCATGTATTTTAAATATTGGAATTTTGTTTATAACTCTCATCACTTTTTATTTTCAGATCACGTCATCATAATAAAGCAGTACCCTGGTTAAAAAAGACAGAATATATCTCTAATGAGTTCAACAGATATGGAAATCTTAATGAGAAAACAGAAACAAAGTAATTTATAGTTATATCTTTTTTTATCCATGTTTTGTGATGTCTAGAAAAATTAGGTTTTTTTTAATGTTATCAAATATTTTGCATTTATTTTCAAGTAGTTTAACAGGTTATATTATTTCGTAGTTCTAGGAATACGAGGGTAAGTACTTAAAATTTTAGAATCTGGCAACAAAAACATAGCTACTTTCAGTGCAGGCAATTTTTTTAAAAATTCAAACATTGATAGAACATTAGAAGCTGTGAAATTCTATTTACTGTGATTATTCAAAAAACATAGTGTTAAGTAATTACAGAGTTAGGCCAAAAACATTCAGAGCCATGGTTTTTTATGACTTACAACAAGGTTTGATACAGAAACGGTGTAGTGATAGAGTGAAATCGATGTTTGGTTGTGAAGCACCATCGGCAGCAACAATTTACAACTGGTTTAAAGAATTTTCCCAAGGTCGTAAAGATCTCAACAACCCAAGGTCATAAAGATTTTAACAACCCAGAAGAGACAGTTGCAGCTAACAAATGCCACGTTTTTGCTGTGCCATGTTCAGAATGCGTAAATGTTTTGAAAATTGATTTAGTTTATTCAAATGCAAAAATGTATCAATGCTGCAGGAGAATACTTTGAGAAGCAATAAAACATATACTTAATCATTTCTTGTATTACTTTCTAAAAATGTGAGTACTGTCCCTCATTTTAATTCAATTTATTTAAATAATGCTTTTAACAAAAGATTCATGTGTAAAATATCATCTGGCTAACTTGGATTCTTATATTGTTTTAGTATCATAACAATATACGTATGTATTACCTGCAACTAAATAGTTTTTGTTGTTCTACATATTCATATTAAAAAAAGTGTAGTATCATAAAACCAGTGTTTATAAAATAAAACTTATAAAAAGAATATTACAACAAGATAATTTTTGCAATAAAATTATTGCAAGATAATTTTAAAGATAAAAATATGTTGTTGCATTCACATGAAGGTTGGTATGCAATGATGCTACCCAGACCACCTCGACCATAGTGGTTCTTTTTCACAATGTTAAGGGACTGATAACAACTCCCGTATTCTCGCCAGCATAATTTTACAGAACTCAGATTATCGAGTCTTTACTGTATTATGTGTTACTGTTCTATTAATCTTATAGATATAATTCTTATAGTTCTATTTATCTTATAGGTTTTGCTAATTGTGAATATTTTTTAGCATTAAAACGTGCTTCTTTTTTTAAATAATAACAGATATTTTGCTAATGCAGGGGTCTGTCCAGGCCAAATTTACTACCATTTAGTGGTACTTTCACAAATTCCAACTTTAGGAAATTTCACTAAATGCTTTTTCTAAAAATTTTATTTTTGTATCCCATAAGAAATTATAAATCCATATTTTTACCGTATTTTTGTGTTGATTTTTTAATATAATTTTTAATTTTCACGAATTATGTCTAAATTTTCACAAAATAGGTACCTCTCAGAAAAACCTAGACAGACCCCTGTAATGTAACTTTGATGCATTTTATAATGTGCTTTGAAGGTTGTACTTATTATGTTTAGCAGTTTTATTGTTGTGTGTGGTTTTTTTTAATTTTAAAATTTATGTTTTTTTCAGAGTTGGGTACAATGTTAAAAAACTGTTTAAGGAAGAGAACTTATACATGGATAGAGAGAGTCAAATTGCTGCTATCAACAAAACATTTTCAGATGCTAAAGTTCCTGTAAGTTTATATTGTAATGTGTTATGTTTCCCTTTGTAATTTAGTTTTTTTAAAAAAAAAATTTTCTTCTTCTTTTTTAGACTTCTTTCACTCTATCTTTCTGATTAATTTTTATTTTGTTTCGTTTAAAATAAGCCTGGTGTTATAAGATAATTACTTTATCCTTTTCCCATATTTAATTTAATGTTTAAAAATATAAATGTTCCTGGTTTTGTTCATGAGATTCAGAGTTGTGTGTTTCTCCATGTTTATCTAGCAGTTTTTAACCTTTTCATAAACACAGAAAATTTATAATTTTGAATAATATATTTGCAGGGATTTTTTAAGACTTTTTGTAGAATGTATTATTATTAATTTTTTTTTACACATAAATGAAGAAAAATAATAATAAATAATATTTAACGATGAAAAGAGTTACATTTTCAGTTGAATTAATTTATTATTACATTGCTCTAACATTTTATCATAGTAGTTCCAAACATACCAAAACAAAAAATGCCTTAGTTGAAAAAATAAGGAGAATAAAAAAGATTCTTTTTGTAATATTTAAGACATGGGGCATGCCATTATGCTGTCATGTTGTCATAACCTATGGTTTGGTATCATCATGGCTATTTAGTTCCCTCTAAAATAAAAATTTGAGTTTAAAATAAGAGTAAATAAACTATTGGAAAAGTTTTTTGAAATTAAATTGTTAGTAATAAGTTTATTTAATATTCGTTACAAATAATAAATATAACATTCAGCACAGCAATTATCTCCTCTTCTGCTACATGCAGAGTAATGATATATAATGCTGTGTTTTTCAAAGAAAGAATTGTTAAGGGCTCTTTTTCTAAAATGAATAAAATTAAAAAAGGTCAGTTTTTAAAATATATTTTGTTAATGATCCACTTTTACTATGAAATAATTCTGGAATGGTCTGTTTATGTACCCAAATGCTTCTTTAACAGATCCCAATTTGTTATTATACCTCGGTATTCTATAATTTTTTTTAATTTTTTAGCCCCCTGTTTTTCTTCTGTGATGAAATAAAGATAAAAGTAATTGATAAAAACTTGATACAATTTCAACTTAAGTTATAAAGTTATTTAAAATCTGTTATTTTTTTAAAAGTTTTAATTGTGNGTGCATCTTATATTTTTAATTAAAAGTCTTAATAAATATGCTTGATAACAATATTATGTTTGAAAAATATTAAGATTGTTGCAATTATTTTTATCTGAATTTCTTAACTTAAGAAAAATATATTAAAATTTATATCAAATTTATTCTACGATCCATTATTAAAAAAATTTATATATTATCAAGATTTGTTGTTTTAAATATTAAAGAAAGTATATTTAAATTTTGTTTACTCATTAATAACAGGGATAATACAGCTGTAAGAATGAGCTTGAAAACTACTTCTTGCAACATTTAGCGACATAACCATTTATTTTATACTTTCTTACAACATTTTTCTTCAAACTGCACAAATGCTTAAAGAAATTGAAACTAACTTTGAAAACAAAACTAGCTAAACTGTGAAAAATCTGCAATCTTCAAGAAAAGTTTCATTTTCTCTTATCTATGACAACAATATTTTCTTGACATTGCAATAATCTTAATTTTTGTGTATGCATTTTGTTTTGGCACCATATGTTATGTTTCTTGGAGTTTTAAAATCGTCTGTTGTATTTGCGAATATTCATTGTGATTAATATTTACATGATTAACGACGTTTTGTTCTCAACTTACGAGTCACACTTGCTATCTCTGGGTCCCCACATCAATTGCATTTCATTTACCTATAAACTTTGCACATTCATGCAACTTTAAAATCAAGCATTACAATTCATATTTACGTGATTTAAAAATCACCATATATTGTAGGGGTAGTTGTAGAATAGATAAATGTATCTTGTGCTATGCTAATACAAATCTTAAACAAAAATTACCAAGCATTTACTACAAAATAATAAATAATTACCCAGGTCATATTTGATGTTGGATTAAGGTGATGTGAATAAGGCTTGATAAGAAATAAACACAGAGTAAATAAAATACTATTTAGAGTAAATAAAATACTAAATAATATTGCAAGCCAATAGTTGGACAATAGGGTAAACAATAAAGAACAAAATGACTCTCACAAAATGATCCCATCAGGAGGGAGTCTCCTTTGCAAATACATCAGAAAATAATGCCACATTTGTTGTTTAATATTTCGTTAAATTTCACACGTAAACAAATGTTCCACATATTTCAAAACATTATATATAGTCACATACTAAAAAATATACTTCACTTTTTTAAGCTTTTCAACAGCATCTTTAACTTAACATTTATGAAAACCATCTTTTCACCTTACAAAGCCATTTTTCAACTGATGATCACTCTTTTTCTAAGCCTCCTTGAAACCTTAACCTATATTCTTTTCCTTAATTCCTTAGCAAACCATCTTGAATATCCATACCCATAAATATATTTATAAGTCATTGATTAGACCCCCGCGCAACTAATGTGTCTAATAAAAAGTTATAAAGCTACAGTCATTATTCCTTGTTGGACACTTAAACTGTCTATAGAAAATTCCCATGCCTGCTACCCCACCTGAAATATTGTTTAAGTTAAAACTTAAATACATATTAATAAAAATTATCAAATTTAATTACAAACATTTTGTACTAACGGTGTCACTACAACAATCATTTTAATGCTCATCGTATTCACACGATTTAAGTCTTACATCAGGATATGTATTTTCGCGATTTCATATCAAACATCGTATTTTGTGTTCATGATCAAATTTCTATATGATCCTGATCAGTTTAGAATGTATTGTTTTGTTCTAAAGATGAAATCTAAATTTTAGCTAATAAGTTTTGTTGCTATTATCTTATGTTGAAAAGTATTTTACTTTGTTATATTATCTTAAATATTTCTAGCCACTCTTCATCCTGATGATGAAAGGTTATTGGAAGAAGATGCTTTAACTCCACAAGATTCTAAAAGGTTGAACAGTTTTAAAACATTCATCTTAAAATCATTATGAAATTGATGTATGCTAATGCATGATTTATAATGCAATATAGAAATTCTTTAAGAAGTTCTTAAAATTTTTAATAACGAGTACTTGTAATTTGTTATTTCAAAAAAATTAAGTAAATTACAAACTTAATATGCATTTTAACTTACCTATTATGCATTACATATTTTGCATTTAATGTACTTAAGCTAGTGCAATATTATTTTGTTTATCATTCCTTTGATTTATTTTTAAGCCAATGTCTGTGACCCATAGAAGATTTTTTTAACTGCTTTAATCACAAAAGCTTTAAAATAACAGTTAGTTGCTTAATTTCTTGCATGATTATGCAAATTTGCTTGTTGTTCAAATGTATAATGATTACATAGAATAAGTCAAATTCTTTTTGAAGTAAAACATAGAATAATTCCTGAAAAATTGTTTAAACCAGCTTTCAAAAATGTTAATCTTTAGAAGTAGTTGAAGTAATTGACCCAAATACAAAAACTGATTTATCTAAAAGGAATTTCACGCAGAAAAAAAAAATCTTTTAATACTTTTTTAATCTTTAATTTCACAAAGTTTGACATTTTTTTTATTGTTAGCTATAAAAGTTTTATATCAGTTTAATTTTGGGTAACTCCCAAGATTTAAAAGTTATCCCAAATTTCATAATTGATCAAAATATACAGTATTAAACTTACATTTTCGTTGCAAATGAAAGCTTTAAAATTTTTTATTAATATACATGCTTTTATAAATAAATTACTGTAAACTGAATAATAATAATCAAACTATGAGTATACATTAATCAGAAAACTTATGCAAAGATGGTTTTAACCTTCTTGTATGTTTCGTGATTGTTGGTATGACCTTATAAAATTGTTAAAATTGATATTACATATTGTATTTGAAATAAAGTAACTTATTAAATATTTCTGAAAGCTTTTTATAATTTTAGCTCTAATTTAACACAATTTCATATTGAATGTGAATTTAAGAAAACCAAGAAACGAAAGATACTCTAATTCTTGTATTTTAAATATTGTAATTTTGTTTATAACTCGTATCACTTTTTATATTTAGATCACGTCATCATAATAAAGCAGTACCCTGGTTAAAAAAGACAGAATATATCTCTAATGAGTTCAACAGATATGGAAATCTTAATGAGAAAACAGAAACAAAGTAATTTATAGTTATATCTTTTTTATCCATGTTTTGTGATATTTAGAAAAATGAGTTTTTGTTTTATCTTATCAAATATTTTACATTTATTTTCAAGTAGTTTAACAGGTTATATTATTTCGAAGTTCTAAGAATATGAGGGTAAGTACTTAAAATTTTAGAATCTGGCAACAAAAGCACAGCTACTTTCAGTGCAAACCATTTTTATTAAAATTCAAACATTGATCGTCTGCGTTTTTGGAACATTAAAAGCTGTGAAATTTTATTTACTGTGATTATTCAAAAAACATAGTGTTAAGTAGTTACGGAGTTATGTCAAAAGGATTCAGAGCCATGATTTTTTATGACTTACAGCAAGGTTTGACACAGAAACAGTGTGATGATGAAGGGAAATCGATGTTTGGTAGTGAAGCACCATCGAAAGCAACTATTTACAACTGGCTTAAAGAATTCTCCCAAGGTCGTAAAGATCTCGGGGGCAATGTTTGAGAGGCTTGACCAAAACGTGCTGTGACTCGCAAAAGCATTGAAGCTGTGAGAAAACTAATTGCTTCTGATCGTCACATGACATATGATGAAATCGAAACATCTTTGAACATTTCGAGGATCCACGTACATTCAATTTTACATGATCATTTAAAGGTGAAAAAGATGTGTTCTCAATGGATCCCCCACAATTTATCTCAAGCTCAAAAGGACGCTCTTTAAAATGGTGCCAAGAAAATCTAAAAATCTCGGGTGCCTCAAAACGTGTATGATATCATAACACGTGACGAAACCTGGATTTATTCCTATGAACTGGTAACAAAACAACAATCCACTCTGGGTGTTTTTAGATGACCCTAAGCCTCCAAGAGTTGTTCGTTCAAGGAGTGCTTCCAAAACAATTATTGCTTCTTTTTTCAGTAAATGTTGCATCCATTCCTTTAGAAGATCATAGAACAATCAATGCTCTTTGGTATACCACAATTTGCTTGCCGGAAATAGTTGCAGAGGTAAGAAAAAACAATTCAAAATGTTGCATCATTTTGCACCAAGACAATACAAGCTTACGCAAAGCTTCGTTAACTATAGATTATTTGAAGCATGAAAAAATCAAATTGATGATATTGTCCATGTCCATGTTCTCATTGTCCTTATTCTCCAGACTTAGCACTAAATGACTTCTTTTTATTTCCTTTTATAAAAAATAAAAAGCATGGTCTACATTTCAACAACCGGGAAGAGACAGTTGCAGCTAACAAATGCCACGTTTTTGCTGTGCCATGTTCGGAATGCATAAATGCTTTGAAAATTGATTTAGTTTATTCAAATGCAAAGATGTATCAATGCTGCAGGAGAATACTTTGAGAAGCAATAAAACATATACTTATGACAATAAATTATTTCTTGTATTACTTTCTAAAAACGTAAGTACTGCCCCTCATTTTAATTCAGTTTATTTAAATAATGCTTTTAACAAAAGATTCATGTGTAAAAAATCATCTGGCTAACTTGGATTCTTATATTGTTTTAGTATCATAACAATATATGTATGTATTGCCTGCAACTAAATGGTTTTTGTTGTTCTACATATTTATATTAAAGAAAGCCTAGTATCATAAAACCAGTGTTTATAAAATACAACTTATAACAAGAATATTACAACGAGATAATTTTTGCAATAAAATTATTGCAAGATAATTTTAAAGATAAAAATGTGTCGGTTGCATTCACATGAAGGTTGGTATGCAATGATGCTACCCAGAACACCTCCACCGTAGTGGTTCTTTTTCGCAATGTTAAGGGACTGATAACACTCCTGTATTCTCGCCAGCATAATTTTACAGAACTCAGATTATCGAGGCTTTACTGTGTTATGTGTTACTGTACTATTAATCTTATAGATATAATTCTTATAGTTCTATTTATCTTATAGGTTTTGCTAATTGTGAATATTTTTTAGCAGTAAAACATGCTTCTTTTTTCTTTCTTTTTTTAAATAATAACAGATATTTTGCTAATCCAGGGGTCTGTGTAGGCCAAATTTACTACCATTTAGCGGTACTTTCATAAATTCCAACTTTAGGAAATTTCACTAAATACTTTTTCTGAAAATTTTATTTTTGTATCCCATAAGAAATGATAAATCCATATTTTTACCATATTTTTGTATTGATTTTTTAATATAATTTTAAATTTTCACGAATTATGGCTAAATTTTCACAAAATAGGTACCTCTCAGAAAAACCTAGACAGACCCCTGTAATGTAACTTTGATGCATTTTATAATGTGCTTTGAAGGTTGTACATATTATGTTTAGCAGTTTTATTGTTGTGTGTGTTTTATTTTTAATTTTAAAATGTATGTTTTTTTTTAGAGTTGGGTATAATGTTAAAAAACTGTTTAAGGAAGAGAACTTATACATGGATAGAGAGAGTCAAATTGCTGCTATCAACAAAACATTTTCAGATGCTAAAGTTCCTGTAAGTTTATACTGTAATGTGTTATGTTTCCCTTTGTAATTTAGTTTTTTTAAAAAAAAAATTTTCTTCTTCTTTTTTAGACTTCTTTCACTCTATCTTTCTGATTAATTTTTATTTTGTTTCGTTTAAAATAAGCCTGGTGTTATAAGATAATTACTTTATCCTTTTCCCATATTTAATTTAATGTTTAAAAATATAAATGTTCCTGGTTTTGTTCATGAGATTCAGAGTTGTGTGTTTCTCCATGTTTATCTAGCAGTTTTTAACCTTTTCATAAACACAGAAAATTTATAATTTTGAATAATATATTTGCAGGGATTTTTTAAGACTTTTTGTAGAATGTATTATTATTAATTTTTTTTTACACATAAATGAAGAAAAATAATAATAAATAATATTTAACGATGAAAAGAGTTACATTTTCAGTTGAATTAATTTATTATTACATTGCTCTAACATTTTATCATAGTAGTTCCAAACATACCAAAACAAAAAATGCCTTAGTTGAAAAAATAAGGAGAATAAAAAAGATTCTTTTTGTAATATTTAAGACATGGGGCATGCCATTATGCTGTCATGTTGTCATAACCTATGGTTTGGTATCATCATGGCTATTTAGTTCCCTCTAAAATAAAAATTCCAGTTTAAAATAAGAGTAAATAAACTATTGGAAAAGTTTTTTTAAATTAAATTATTAGTAATAAGTTTATTTAATATTTGTTACAAATAATAAGTATAACGTTTCGCACAGGAATTATCTCCTCTTCTGCTACATGCAGAGTAATGATGTATAATGCTGTGTTCTTCAAAGAAAAAATTGTTACAGGCTCTTTTTCTAAAATGAATTAAATTGAAAAGGGTCATTTTTTAAAATATATTTTGTTAAAGATCCACTTTTACTATGAAATAATTCTGGAATGGTCTGTTTATGTACCCAGAATTTTCTTTAACAGACCCCAATTTGTTATTATACCTCAGTATTGTATAATTAATTTTAATTTTTTAACCTCCTGTTTTTCTTTTGTGATGAAATAAAGATAGAAGTAATTGATAAAAACTTGATACAATTTCAACTTAAGCTATAAAGCTATTTAAAATCTGTTATTTTTTTAAAAGCTTTAATTGCAGGCTTTTAAACCCAGTTTTAAAAAAATTATTCAATTGAAGATATTTTTTTTTTGCCATTTTAATATTTTTCTGAAAAGTTATTATTATTATAGATTACTGAACATTATAGCAAGCCAAATGTTCATGCTGTTGAGAGCCTTCCAGTTTTTGCAGACTTTCAGGTAAAATTTATGTTTATATTCTTATGGTATCATTCACTTTGTGGTGATTTTTTAAATTTTTTTTCTTCAAATACTTACATAGTAACATATAAACCAAGTGGTAGATACGGAATATAATTTTTAATTTATGCTGTATGTTTTTAATTGTTAATGGTTGATTTTGCTATTGTACTGTCATACTTTACTTCTGTTTGCCATTCTAAGCAAGAAGGAAGTATCTCCCATTTATGCTATTTTCATTTTTCTTTCACAATATGTATTATATGATACTGCAGCTGCAGCAAAATTAAGTAATTTGAGAAACCAAATATATTTTCTAAGTGACAGTGTTTACCAAAATCTGTGTTATTTTGATAAAAACATTTGTGAAATGCCTTCTCACATACTACTATAAATTACTTAATGCCTACATATATATTACTTAATGACTACACATATATTACTAAATGACTGCCTTCTTTTATAGGACGACAATCATTAAGTAATATAGTGATTGAGCAAATATTTATTCAATTTACTTCTTTTTTGGTATAATATTTGCCATATTTTGAAATAAATATTTCTTTAAAATTAATTCATTAAACAATATTGTAGATTATCAAATATTTTTGGATATTTTAAAAAGAGTGAGAGAATTGCATATTTGTCTGTAAATTAAGATAGAATATTTCTATTCTGTAAATTAAGATAGAATATTTCTATTCTAATTGTTTTTAATGTTTTTTTTTAATAAACTGTACAATCTATTGTTGTTTTAGTAAAAAGAAATCCAAGGAAGAGTTAAAATGTTTGATTGAAGTTTACATAATTATCTCATTATAAATTGATAACTCAAAACTTAACCTGATACTCTTCAAAAAAAATTTCTTATGACTTTGTTACATACCACAATGGTTGAAACATTTACTATGAATAATCTTTCTTATTATTATTCTAAATTAGTTAAGTTATGATGTGAAAAGCTGACAAACGAAATCTTACAGAAAGCAATTTTACAAATTAAAATTAGGGAATGACCTTCTATTAGATATTTCAAATTGGGTTTAATAATTCTTTATCAAAAACTTGTGTTTTTAATTGAAGAAGTATTTCAGAAGGTCCTAGTGATGGCGGACATAGTGCGCAAAAATTAATTTTATGAATGATTTCTCAGTTTTTCACTGTACTAGCAAGATTTATGGAATATTTTGAAACTGTTCATCTCCATTGTATTGGATTTGCGTGGTCGAAAAATAATAAATAAGTAATTGGATCTCAATTCATCCATTAAAAATGTCTTCATTGGCAAATTAAATTAGTAGCAGGGTTCCCATAGATCAGAAAGTTCAGATCACATCAGTAAGTTAGGACTTTTAAAATCAGGGAATAGTGACAAAAAATTTAATTTTTTTCACGAAAACCTAAAAATTTCAACTGCATATCTGGAAAACAACCAATATTAGAACAGTCATTAACAGTAATCAAATTTTGAAATTTTAGTTAAATAATTCTAGCATTTATTACAATTATTCATTGTAAAAATTCTGCATTTCAGTAAAACTTTTTTATGATATCCTTACTAAGTGTTATTTCATTGCTCACAAAATCTAATGTTTAAAACTAAAACTAAATTTAAAAAAAATCATGAAAAATTGCATTGATAAAATATGATTTGGAATTATGTTTGAATTTAACTAATATACCTAGAAGAAAATAACAAGGAATTTTTTTTTATTGTAATTAACTGGAAACCCTGAATAAAATTTTTTATTTTCCTTCATAAAGTAGCTTATGAGTTCCAAAAGTTATGAAAATTACAATTACGCAAAATTAAAAAACCCTTCCAAAAAGAAAAATTTGGTATCAACAGTGGCAAATCTCTTGATACCAATTTTTTTTTTTACTTTATACATTATACGAAACTATATAACATATGTTTTTAGAATTGCGGAATATATATTTCTTTTAGAATTGCAGAAATATATATATTTTTTATTATTGTCTTGTGTTCTTTTTTAAGTGTAAAAATTGTGACATTATTAAAGCTTACTACTTTATGTTGTTAAATCTTCCAGCTTTGGCGTTATCCTTTTGCCCAAGTCATATTTGATGCAGAACCAGTTGCCAGCACAATGACAGAAGAAATGTCGCAAGCTATGATTAGGTACAATTTTCATGTTTTTTTGCTTCAAATAAAGTTCTTAGATAAAAAGATCAGTCAGCTTAAGCCTAATGTTTATTAGTCTTTTTTTTCTTTCTGGTTAATGCATTGTGAGTACCAGAATAACATGCATTAGTACGCTAAGTGTTATTTCCATTTTAGTTTTAATGTCAACTCCTTGATTTTTATTTCTACATTGGTGTACTATATTATTATACCAATTATAAAAAATATCATTTAAATAAGACAATGAAAAAAATTGGAAAATATGACAACTAAAGCTGGCGTCTTCAGGGGTAGCAATTTTAGAATTTTTTCTTGCTTTCTCGATAGAAAAGATTTTGCTTTTATGACATCCAAGGCTGGTACCCCCTGAAGACATCAGCTTTGGTTGTCATATTTTCCAATTTTTTCAATTGTCTCATTGGTTTAATTCCTTTTGGGCTCACTGCTGCTAACTGCGTTTTTCCATAGTATGTATTATTATTATTTTTAATTGCTTTAATATTTTGAATTCTTTACTTAATACTTAATATTTATTTATCTTTACATTGCTAAAAATATTAATGTGGCTATTAAGTAGTATTTTTTTTCTATATCAGTTTTTTTGGCTGTATATGTTAATGAAAAATAAAGTAAAAATTTTAAAGAATAAAACTCTTTCTTTTAGAGGTGTAATGGATGAAAAAGGAGAGCAGTTTGTTGCCTATTTCTTGCCAACTGAAGAAACTATGAAAAAAAGAAAAAGAGATGCTGAAAATGAAGTTGAATATGATGACGAAGATTTGTAAGTTTTAAATCATTTTATTCAGAGCTTCTTAAATACTGTGTCCATGTTGTATTGTCATGAGAAACATTTTTAATAATCTAATATTTTGCAATGTAAGAAGCAGGAGGCTTCTGAAATTTAGTTGTTAGAATTTTTTCCTTTCTCCATGAAGTTACAAAGTTTTTGTTTGCTACGAAAAAAAAAATATGTTTCTATATAGAACTTTAGTATTTTCAGAAATGAAATTCGTATTGGCTGAAATAATTTCAATATCTCAGATTTTTTTTTTAAACTTTTTTTTCTACTGAAAACTTAGAAATATTTTTCCTCATAATTATTTTTTTATTTCTTTGTAATTAAAATAGTTTTAACAAAAAAATTTCTATGATTTCGTAAAAAAATTTCTAAGATCAAGCACTGAATTTTATAAAATAAAGCTGAATATAACACTAAGTTTACTCCATCTTCGCCAGCAAAATCTAATAGTTTTTTTGAATTAAATGGGGTAAACGAGGCAATTTAAAGAAAATCCTTTTTTGAAATTCACTGAAAGACTTAGGTGATAAATTATTTTTATCATAAATCACATCAAAATGATATGATAGAAAAAAAAGTTATCATATTTTCTATGCATCACATGAACTTGATTATTACTGAAATTTTTATCACCTGGCCAGAATAGAGGCTTCTATTGGATTAAAAGAATGTAATTACAAGCACCATAATGTCAATCTTAAACATATGATCTATGACTACAACATACTTCATTAAAAAATTTGCATTTGTATAAAAGTTTTCTGTGCGAAGTCATCTCAAGTAGAAAAAGTCTTTAGAAACTCTGGGGTAACAAACTATAAATGTTTAAGGCAAATAGTTGATTTGAGATTTATGCTTACTAATTTGCAATATCGTATGTAATTTAAACCATGGATTGAGCACCCCATAAAGCTCAGGACAAATGATGCTAAGGGTTAAATTTTGTAATCAGACTTCTGTGTTATTTCCGATTTATATACGTGTCCAAGTTTAAAGAACATGCAATCCTGTATTGTTACTATACTTCTACTGTTTACAATATGGCTTATGCCATTTACTATTCAATGTATAAATCCTTTTACCTTTAGCTGAAGATGTAAGAAATAGAATATAACACTCTAAACCCCTTTATTTTATTTATATCACTTATTAATTTCCTTAAGTTGATTTATGGCTTGCGACTTTGTAGAATTTCTAAAATACAGAAAATTCTTATGAATGATAAAATTATGTGCAAATTTAAATACAAATCTCAATAATAAAACCACTTTGAATATCAAACCTGTTCACACATCATTTTATAAATTCAACATGAGTGGAGAAAATTTCTCAGAATTTTACACTATTCTATTCTGTTCCAGTTTTAGAATCTTATTATGGATAATTAAATAATATTCCATATTAGATTGTCTTTTAAAGATTTAACAAAGTGAGCATTTTGCTCTTTAAAAAAAATCACATTCTTGGCAAAGAACAAAACTTTATTGCTTTACTTTTCATGTTCACTGCCACAGTGGAAAAAACGTTCTGATCATCTGGTCATTCTGCTCTAAGGTTCGTTATTTTTATTCTGGCTTGGCAATAATTTCATTTGCCGCAGAGTATCCCCCTAGTGACTGAGGGTGACCGAAGAAACAATATAACCATTAGAGCTAAATATGTGTTAAGAATTGCACAAGGAATATGAATAATAATAATAATCGTATAAAATTAAAATTACCGGAAATGTTACAGAAATTATAAAATGCAATTTTTCAAAACTAGTCAGACTTAATCATTCAAAAGGCTACGGCTGTTTCTCTATCTGACCCTTAACATACTGTTTAAAATATTTATAAGTAGTGGTGAAAAAAAGTTCTTTTAATTAAAATATTAATACACTATCTTTGCTTCCACTGGAAAAAATGTTTTCCGAAACTATGGAAAATCCATTGTAAAATTCTTATTAAAACTGTAATACCTGTAATATAATCTAATACCATAATAGTATAATACCATAATACCAGTAGTACATATCACTAAAATTAATTACACTCCCGAAAACCAATAAGTGCCTTTTCTCTATTAGCTTTGCTTTTTTGCACATAGGTTAATTTTTAACTTTAATGATACTAATATATACTTTTAATATATATTAGTATCATTAATACAGCTTCATTGATGTCAATAATAGCATGGCAATTTTTTACAGTTCCTCCCTTTTACACTATTAATTTTGCTTTTTAGTACATAGTCTACTGCTTTTTTTTTTCAATATGCATCTATTATCTAAATTAATTAAGTATCATTGGCATCAATAAAAGTATATATTTTTTTATGTTTGTTGTAAATGAATAAGTTCTAGTTTTCATAATAATTAGTTACAAAGGAAATAATAATTTCTAAATCTTTTCTTTGCAATGTTCTAAAATCTATTTAGAACTATTGAACACAATATTGAGTTCAATAGTTCAATACACAAATTTTTAACGGCATCATGCAATTCTTTACAGCAAAAACAGATCTTTGCATCTAGATTAAAATAAATTATTACATTTCAGATTTTTGCTTCTCAAATCTGTTTACTTCCATTATTTTTTCACTTTTTAGTCACTGTTTTCTTTTGATTTTGCAGCTATGAATACAAAATGGCTAGAGAGTACAATTGGAATGTGAAAAACAAAGCTTCCAAAGGTTATGAAGAAAACTATTTTTTTGTTTTTCGAGAAAACAAAGTATTTTATAATGAGTTAGAAACTAGGTGAGTGTTTACTTAAAAAAATATAGAGGTTATAACAAACAATTATTTTCTGTTAAATTCAAAACATTTACATTGTTTTGTGTTGTTTATTTTTTTTATTTTATTATTTTTTAGAGTTCGTTTGAATAAGAGAAGACTAAAACCAGGTGTACAACCAAACTCCAACTCAAAATTAGTGGTTAGGCATAGAACATTAAATGAAGTAGAGTTTAAGACACAGGTATTTTACTGTTCAATTTTCTTTGTCAGTGCTAAAATAAAGTTTTTATTGTTTTAACAATGAATGTAGATTTATTTGTAGCACTACAATAGAGTATAATTTACTAATATTAGCAAATCTGTATTCATTAATTATAATATTGATAAACAAATATCTAAAATACAGTTTCGGATAATGGCATACGTTATGTTGATAACACATTTCAATAAAACAATGTTTTTTATCAAATCAATTTATTAAATTAAATTGCATTCATACTAACATTTTATTGATATATAGTCATTATTTCATATATGAAATCCACCTGCTTTTTAATTTATTAGGGGGTTTTAATGTTGAAAAGAAAACCTAATAATTTACCGATTTAAGTGCTCAATTTTTTAATATTTATATACTAGGATTCCTCAGGCTTTTAATCAAAAATTAATTAAATAAAACTATTTGACTGACAAAAGAAATTAACTTTTTCTTCCAACTAATTGCAAAAACTTTGAAAAAGATTATTTAATTTCAATTCTAAAATGTAGAGATACTTTTGTTCTACATTCATATTGACACTAATTATTTAAAGAGTAAAAAAAATGTAAATTTTTGATAAACTTTTAATTTCCTTTTAAGAAATTTTTTTTTTAAACTGAAACATTTTCAAAACAAATATACTTGGACTTATTTAATAATTAAATATGGGAATAGTTTTTGCACAGTTAACAAATAATAACAATAATTTTTCTCCCATAAGTTTGAAAATCTACTCCAATTTTATTTTATTGAAGGAGACAAAATGTGCAAACTGCAAAAGGTTTTCAATTCAAAAGTGTCACGCATTGATTTGTTTTAAAATTTTTTTATTTTTATTTTTGAAAAAAGGAATAAATATCTTATTACTGACTTATATAACAAGTAATTACATTGAATTACTTAAAAGCCAAAATTTTGTTTTCTGCAACCCCCTTGTAAAGGGGCTGTGAAAATTTTTTTAAATTTAATGTTTTTAAAATTAAGTTATCTTAACAACTCATTATGTTATTGCATGGAACCATTTTTCACATATCCAGAAAACTGGGAAAAATTTTGCTCTGTTTAAACTAGAACAATTGAGGGGGGAAACGGAAACTGGCTCATCCTTGAAGTTGAGTGGAGGAGAATGTGGGGAGGGGACTATTTTTCTTCAGGATTGTTTAGAGAAAACTTTAATATTTCTTCTGTGACCTTGAATATCTTTAGATTGAGAAGGACCAGGAAAGATATGAATGTTTTATTTTCCCCTGTGTGTGAAAGAATCATTGTTTTTCTGATAAGCTTCTGTCACTCAAACATAAAGGAGTGGCATGCTGATTTAATTTTCTCTTTGATTTACAATGAGGTAGGGGTAATGCATTGCACATGCCTATCACTAAATAGAAGAAGGAGAAAAATGTATCCCTTTACTTTACTAAGAAAAAAGTGAAATGGAAATGCGTAAACGATTAAAATATGGCTGTTTTTTATTCAGTTATAAAGTAGGAATGTAGTTAAGCTGAATTTAATCATTTAAAAAATAATCAGAAGAATTTTGTAAATTATAATTTAGTAAATTATAAATATAATTGACTGTGTGAGTGGGGGGATACAAAAGCCTTCAAGCTTTGTCCGGACTACTACTACTAAAATTCATAATTATTTTAAATAAATATGAGTAAAGTTTTAATATTGGTACAATTAAATGATTACAAAGAGGTTTATAAAACATTTGTTAGAATCCAAATTTGAGTAATTTGTTTTTTTTTATCGCACTATTTAAGAGAGGATTAAATGTGGATGATTAGTTATCTTCTATAATATAGTTCTCAGGGGCGTGACAGCCCAAAGAGGGCCAAGGTCTACTGTGCCCATCTTAGTTTTCTTGACCTTAGGCTCTGGGATGCAAGAGCAAATGTTCCGGTTGGGAAGTCAGCCAAACGGGGAAAAAACTGTGTTTTGTCCTTAAGCATGCTTGGTACTCATTTTATCGACCCACTGAAGGGATGAAAGGCTGAGTCCAACATATTTTATATATTTTGTTTTATGTATTCATTCTGTCTTATTTTTAAAACTTTTGTAGCATTTGCTTTTAAATTTGTTTCATGGTTCACTTTTTCATATTGATTGTTAGTTAAAGATTAAATTTCAATAAAGCATTAAGACAATGTTTTTTTGTTTTTTTTTTATCAAATCAATCATTTTTATTTTTCTTTGCCTCAGGAATTAAGAATGTTACAATTAGAACCACCACAAGAGGAAGAGGAGGAGGAAGAAGAAGAAACTCAAGCTAACAATGAAAAAGAGGATGAAGAAGAAGAAAATGAGGCTGAAGAGAATGAAGAAGGAGAAAATGAAGCTGAAGAAGAAAATGAAGAAGAAGAGAAAGAGAAAGGTTTGATATTAATATTAGAAAAATTGAAAAAAGAGTTGAAATTTCAATGTAAAAATCTTTTAAAACATTATTTAATTAAAACTATTATTTTTTTCTTTTTTGGAAATGAAACAATGTAATTGACATTTTAATGTTAGCAAGAAAATCAAGCATTAAAATTTGAATTTGTTTTTATGTAATAATAATATACAGTCGGACTCGCTTACAATGAGTGTAAAGGGACCACACTATTTTCTTATTCTAACCAAGTGCTCGTAAAATGCGGGGTCCTGAGAAATTCATGCAATTATAAAAAATTCTTATTTCCATACAATACAAAAATTAGTGAGTTAGTTAATGTGCTTTGATTGAACCGTCTTATTGTCTCTTTGTTGTGCTATTTTTCTTAAAATAAAACTCATAGTCCAATACAAAATAGTAATTTTCACCCATACTTTCGGAGAAAAAAAATTAAGTAACCTGGATTTAGGATTTATCACAAGCATACAATTTTCTTCTGAGTGTTATAGTTTTACAGAGTTTTCCTACTAGAGATTACTTGCGCTTGAGAGGTTGTCATTTGTAGAAATTTTATGAACTACAAAAATATTGCTTGCTAAATCTGGGGTTTGTTCTTTAAAAGTGAGCTATGTTCCAATGGACTAAACATTGTACCAACCAAGTATTTTTGATTTCCTCTTTAAATCCGACTTCAAGTTAAATCAGAAGTTATTATTATTATAGGGTTCGACTGTATCTCTTTAATATATTATCCCTGATTTACTGATCAAATGTAGAGTGCTTAAAAGAATTAATAATAAAAATTAATAATTAGTAATGTTAAAAAAATAATAACCAGTAAAATTTGTTGTTTTCTGACACTTTGTCATCAGTTGTAAAAAGTGTAACTATAAAGACGCTTTAAATACTTAGTTAATCTATTTCTGCAATAACTTTTTTTAATCAACTTTTTCAAGTAATGAAAATGCATCACAAGTTTTAAATTTATGCCCTATCCTTGCTTTTGCTCAATAATTTTATAGAATTTAGATAGGTAATTTTTAGGCACTGTGGGAAAATTAATATTTATAATAGTATATAAAATATACAGGACATGATTTTTTGAAAGAACACATTGGAGCAATGTTTTGTAACCTTACAGTATTGAAAATATAGTTTTGTTAAGTAACATAATAATTCCTCCTTAGTAGTTTACTTAGTTGAACATTATGTACTTTAAGTATTGCTTTATACGTTTAAATTTAATTCAAAATAATATTACTAGATATTTAGTTATTTCAAACATTCATTGTAAAAATGCATTGTAAACAGAAACTATCGTAGGGTTCTTCTATCTTTCGCGTCACGGAGCCTCATAAATGAATTCAAAATTCCCTGTTGGGCCACATGTATGCTTTATAATGTAATAAAGTGAAAGAAATGTTTTAGTAGGTGGGGATATAACAATAATTTTAGTGTAATGTACTAAGTTTTCAGTTTAATTTGATTTGGTGAATACCAAGTCTGTAATGTTAGTGCTAACAATTCTTAAGTAACACATTACCTGCGTAAGAGCTTTATTTTTCCCATTCGCCGTGAAAAAGGAAGTTTATTTTTAATTAAATTAAAATACATAATATGATGTTTAAGTGTAAAATATAATTTTTTTTATAGTTCTATATGTTTTTTTTCCGTAGCGCTGCTTGTAAATACTAAGATATTAGAATTCATTGTCTTTTTGAAATATATCTGGAAGTCCTGAAAAAGTCAGGGAATTTTATTTTTTGCCTTGAGTAGCACCCCTGTTTTGTTGACCGAATTTTTCGTTTATTTTTCATTAATAAGTTTTGTGTTTTATTATTTCGGTCTTAAGAAATTAATAAACAAACACTATAATCAGGCTCATTTGTTATTCTCATTAGTATCATCTACTAATTTTGTACTACCAGTTACCATTTGAAATGTCATTCTATGATGTTTTTCATTGTCTTGTCTAACTGAATTACAAGATTCAGCAGGACATCAAAATATTAATAATCTGCAAGCCACTAGTACAACCGGGCATTCATTGACAACCCTAACCAATAATGAGCATGTAGTTTTAAAAAAGTTTAATTGTTTTTCAAATATTTCTACAGTTTTTCCTGTCACTCTTAATTTTTTACTAATACAATTCTATTAATTCCTGAGTGAGCTTCTATTAATGCAAATTATTATATATTTAACAGAAGGCTCAGCTTCCAGTGAAAGTGAAGCAGAAACTGAAAACCAAAAAGATGAAAAGATGGAAGAGGATTCAGATAATGAAGAACAGAAGGAAACAGAAACTCAACAAGCAGCTTCCTCTTCAAGTTCCAAATCATCATCATCGTCCTCATCTTCTTCCTCCTCTAGTAGTGAAAGTGAAGCTGAAAATGAGAATGAAGATCAAAATAAGAGAGATGAGGAAGAAATCTTTGGCAGTGACAGTGACTAAGTGTTTTAACTAATAAATTGATGTATCTTCTTGTATATATGTTTTAATAAATTACTTTCATGATGTTACTTTTATTTATTTATTTTTTGCTTAGTTGTTGAATAATTTTTTTGCCTTTCCTTTTGTTGAATATGTATTTATTGTAACAATTTATAAATAAATGAATAATCATCTGTATTTGATCTTGCTGTTGACAATTCTTTTTCCTTTGGTCTTAAATTTCTGGAACATAGTATTACTTCATAAATAAAAAAATTTGTCTTTTATACTTGGAGGAATAATGAAATCATCATATTAAAATAAATTATTTATGGATAATTTCTGTAATTAAGGCATTATTTTACATTCAGTAAATGACTAATCTTGCATTTATTATATTCTATATTTTAAATTATATAAAACTCAGCAATCATTAGATATTCAATTTGATAAAATGTATTCTAAATTTTAATGGACAAAATTGCAAGCAAAAGTATATAATTCTTAAAAAGTTATATGTTAAAAAAAACTAAACGTGAAATTGTGAAACTAAAACCAACGAACATTCTGTGCACATATGTTGAAAAAATTGATTTTTTTTTAACAAAATTGGCTTAATATATTACAACTGGATATTGTTATGCATCACTAGATAATTATCAATTTCAATTTTTTAATTTTTCTGTGAAGTTAGTAAGCTAACATAAATGCTGGCATATATATTTTTCATTCGCATTTTTTATAATCTTCCGGAAGCATTTTTAGAACATTTTTTATATTACTTTGACACTTTAAATCATTGACAGATGATGTGTTAAATTGTCTTTTCATGCCCAAACACAGCTGACTGGTAACGAGTTGGCTCATCATTGCACTTGCGACATTGGATTAGCTCGACACAGGGAGAAAAGGGCATGTAATTAATACTTAGAATATATTACTTTAATTCCATATTAAATGGTAAAATAATAAGTGGTGATATTATATCATAGTTTTTGTGTATAATTGCTGTGCTTCTGTGTTTAAACTTAATAATCTCTAAATCGTATTATTTTTAATAAGTCTAGTATATCAAATTATTTCCTATTCCAACTGGAACCATCACTAGAAAACTTAGATTTTGTACTTAAAATCCTTTTATTTTTCAAATTTGATTAGAACTATATGTATATAATGCAATTTTTTAATAATGCACAAATTTTGAGAAACTTTTAACTTAAAACAAGTAGTTTTTAATAAATTATTTATATAGCTTGTATCAAAGCATCATTCTCTGAAATGAATTCCGTTACTTCTCAGAAGAATCTATAAAAGTTATCATTATCTTTTACTATCTATGGTTGCAGTCTTATCTTTATTACTAAGATGGCCTTTCTCCATTATATCTGACCTCTTCAGAATTTTTTTTTCACAAGCAATTAGTTCTTTATATTAGTTACAGTTTTATCTTTTTGGTTCAATGCCTTTACATTGTTTATCTATTTCACACATGGGTGAGACAGCGGAAATTTCACTTTGACAATGTAGCAACTTAAAACAAAGTTTTAAAAAATTCTTCTGGGGTTTTTATGTAAATATCAATAATATTTTAATCAGTTTTTACAAATAGGGTTCATGGCATTTATTCTAAGAAAATAGGTCCCGCAGTGGACTGATCGTTAAGACACGGTTCCCAGCAGATCACCGAAGTCAAGCATCACTGACTGCGGTCAGTGTGCGGGTGGGTGACCACTTGGATCAGTCTGCGTAGGGACCGAGGGTGTGCGGTATTGGTCCTCGTTAAACTGTGCTACCGTAAAGTGCTCGACTTCGCGCGCAGGTCGTCGGGCTACCGAAGCGGAGGTGCCATCCCCTCCGCAGAGGATCACATGTCTTCGGATCATCCTCCGGGATGTTTCCCAGACCGTCGCCAATAGCCCATTGTGCAGCTCTAGTGCGACGTAAATTAACAACAACCAACAACAACTATGAAAATAGTAATGAATTAAATTTACTACCTATAATGTGATATTGCATTATTTAGGACGAATAAATTAGCAATTTGTAAAATAAGATCAAGTTCTTATTTATATAATAACACAATTTTCATTACTGTTCAACAACATAAAAAAAATTTGCTTTAAAAATTTTGCTATTAGGCCAAAGTGAAAGTTATTATTAACGTTTTTAACATCAATATTTTTTATAAAAATTCATTGCAATATCTAATTGTTTAAATTTTTAATAAAATTTGCTAAATTTTGTTTTCTGTTTGAAAAATTAGTCTGGCATTCTTGAATATCTGTTTTGCTTGAACCATTGGTCAAATTTCAAAAAAGAAGTGGAAAAGGTTGTGGGAAACAACTTGTGTCTTGCAGACGCAAAAGCGTAGAGACAACTCCAAAACTTCAGCTTTTGAGTTTATTTAAGCTATATCCAATATCAAACTAGCGATGACGAAGCAATATCCAATACCTCAAAAATAACCATCCTATTGACACTTTATTTCTCCAATATTTACTGAACCTTCGGATATACGTGACTACCCATTCAATAGTTTTGGATCTGTAAAAGTCAAATAAATGTATATATTTTGATTTAGTGATAATGTTTTATTTTTGTTAGGTTTCAAAACTCACTCAAGTACAAGATAAATTGTTAATAAATCAATTCCACATTTTTTTATTTATTTAGTTGGAGTATCTGGAATCAACGAAGCAATACCATTCAAAACATGCACGGTACAATTTTTCTTTATTTTAATGAACAGTAAAACAATTTATAATTATGACTATTGTGTTAAGCGACTACAAAGGAATTCAATCGAACACATATTTTATTTAATTAAAATGTATTATTTAACTCTAAAGATACTCTATTAATTCACAAATTTAATACATTATTTTATAAATAAATCCAAATTAATTATTTGTTAATTAATCACAAATTAGTTTATTAATTAATTATAAATTAATTAATGATTCAAATTTAATTTTTTGTTAGAATATAACTTTCGAAAAATGCATTTTTCATTAATACTTTTAAGTGTTATTTACAACAACTAATTATAAATAAAATGTGATATTATTAATTCAATAATGCTCATGTTAATTGCATGAAGCTAATTATATTTTATTCTATGAAAGTTCATGAAATTAATCTCCATTAATGTGGTTTATTGATGAGATTAATTAAAGTTAAAAAATCTTTTATGCATGCATTGCATTCATCTTTGGCATCTGTTTTTTAAAGATTTTAGCGCCATCTGTACAAAATTTGCTATGTGGTTTGAGATTAAATAAAAGTTAGATATAAAATTTTATTGGCAACAACACATGTAGTTTTTGTTTATTGTTGACATTTTGATGGGTTTTTGTACGACTTTGAACTTCTAATGTTCACGATATTTTAGTTTGTTCTTTTATAAACTTTTATAAATTAATGTATAAAATGATTAGTATCATTTATCGTCTTTATGAGGCTATAGATTAAAATATTTTTTATTTGCCAATAATTTATTAATTTCTTATCAAAAATAATACATTCTTATGCTGACAACCTTGTAATCCATTTTTTTTTCATTGCTTGAGTAGAATGCCTAGCAGTCCAGTAATATTAAACGTGTACGATATGGTATGTACTATAATTATATTGCTTAATATTTTGTGCATTATTTTTTGAGAACTTTGGGAATTTTCAATTTCCATATGTACGAGTGCAGTTCATTTCGAAAAATAGAAATGCTTGCAATTTTTAAGTATAAATGTTATTATTCAGTTGCTGATTATTCAATTTAATCAAACAGTTTTTTTTCCGTATAACTAACTTTGCTTCTGCACGCGGGATTATACTTATGTAAACATAGTGGTATTAATTTCTATTTCTTAAACTTCATTTAAACTGAATTATGGTATTTTAAAATAATACAGGGTTAGAAATAGTTGAAGTTATTTAAATTAATTTAGAAACACGATTAATCAAATGTTTTTTAAGCATTAATAATTTTTCTATATTTAACATGACATATATTAAGTTGTGAGGTATTTATATAGTTACAATAAGTCGATTATCTAAGTACTTATATTAGCTACTTTTTGCAATAATAACTCTAACATCTTTTTATACTCCCTCCTTCCTGAAACGGTCCAAATATTTATTATTGAAAAAATATGGATATTTCTATGTCAGTACCTAATTTTGCCAACCACAAATGGTAAGGTGCCAAAGAAATTCTAAACTTATAGAAATTTAAAAACGAAAATATGTAGAATGTTGAAATTTTTAAACGTTGCTAATAGTTTCTACCCATCAAGTTGGTTTCCTTCTGTGATGTTTTATCTTTTAAATTCTCGCAGGCCGGAATTGAACACTGGTAGTCATAAATTGAAAATTTGGTCAGCTGTTCCACGATGATTATAAAATAAAATATTTAAGGACTGCACTGTGGTGACTGAGGGGATAGAGCATTAGCCTCCTAACGAGGTGAACCCGATTCAAATCCCCTCAATGGCTGGTTGTTATGAATTCCGTGCCCAGTTTGCACCAACCACAGTGCTGTCATGAATTATCCAACGTTTTAGATTGGTACATGGGTTAGAATCTCTTTGCCATCGGGCTAACTGTTTCAAGTTAACCAAAGGTTTTCGCAGTTTCCTTCGCCATGTAAGGCAAAAGTGGACTAAATCTATCAAAAAGTTCTCCACAAGAGAAAAATTACTCACAATACTTGATCCTGGAGTTCCCTTGTCTTCTGGATTGGGTTCAAAATTACAAGGCTAGGGAGTTGGTTGGAAGTTGTAAACTCAAAATTGGGTCTACCATTTTATGAGGGTTATAAAATAAAATACTTAGTCTTTTGTTTTTCTATCTGAAATTTTACATAAAGCAATTATTAGAAAAGAGAATGCAGTAGCACAGAAACCTGAAACTTCAGATTACCATAACTATTGCAAATTATTTAAGTATTTCAAATTTATTTTAGTATTTCTAATTTGGCTTTAAAGGCAACAATCTGGCTAGATATAGTTAATATAATTAGCGATATTAGTGTCCTTTAATAGTGAACGTGCCCTTGTTTTTTAAAAATCACCTTGCCCTTTTATATTTGTAGAGAGATCTCTGTATTATACTTACAGTGAAAATTGATAGTGGAAACAAGCGTAAAGGTTTTCCATTTATTGCTAACATTACCTGCTTCTGCTAGTTCATTGGTGAATTGTTGATTCTTTCCTTATTGACCAATAGCCAGATTAATGTTGTTTGTCATAACCTTGGTGTGAATCAGCCTAAGGTTATGTCAAGTGTCAGATAGCTTTGTTTATCTTCGCTTTCAGTGCTCACTGAACAAAGTATAGTTAGTTACAGACAAAAAATCATTTCCACATTACTAACTGCCCTTAATTTTTTTTTATTCCTTTTTTTTCTTAATTTTAATTTATTTATAAATTTTTTTTCTGAAAATTAATTAAAATTTTATTTTTTCTAATTTTTAATGTAATGAAAAGTATTCTAGAGTATTTTTGACAATATGTGAAGATCAATGGAGAAGAACGGTTTATGTGTATGAATTCATTCTGAGAAAAACAAATTTCAAGGCAGTCTGGAACCATTTTCCTCAGCATTGCCCACCCTCATTGTATAATAACTCTCAAAGAAAACTAATTTTTTAAAGTATTGATTTGTTGAAACCTAGTAGTCCTGAAAATGCAACAAATGGTTAGAAAAATCATTATTTTTGTGAAAAATGGGCATAAATCATTCTTCTCCCTTGATCTTCATGGATTAACGTTCTTATTCTTGAATTCATTTTTAAAACATTACATTTTTAGTAGAAATTTTGTTTATTAATTTCTTTTTATTTTCATTATGTAGATTAATATTGATTTAATGAAAAAATTTCATAATAGCAAAATATATCTACTTTGTTTTTCAGTACTGGATTGATTAAATTTGATTAAATTATTTCAGTACTGGACAAATGACTATACAGCACCTTTAGGAATCGGTGTGTTTCATTCAGGAGTTGAAGTTCATGATATTGGTATGTTGCCATAAAATTGTTTTCATTTACTTTAATTATTTCTTAAAATAATGTTTTTAAATTTTAATAAGGATATAAAAATGTCTTTCAATTATGCAGAGAACAGAATATATTTATAACTTAAATATATTACTTAATGGGATATTCCGTTTAATTTTTTAACAGTTTTTGCTCTTTATTTTTGCATATAGTTATGAATTTATTTTAGGCAATGAACTGGTACCTTGTTCCAATTTGGGGTTTTAAAAATCTTGTAGCGTTTGCCTCACATTCTTAACGCCATTCTAGATCATCCTTTACTTTTTTGTATTCTTAAGTCCATGTGAACCATATTATACCTGGAGGAAAACTTGTGTTGTATAGTCTTTTAGGAATCTTTTCCCTCAGGTGGCTCATGAGGTTTGCATGGTTTTTGGAATGTAGGAAGGTAGAGGATGTTTTGTAATGTTGTCTAAATTGTATGAGAAATAGTGAGTGTTTTAAAAATTACAAGCTGAAAAAAAAGGGCAGCTCACGACGTAAGAACTTTTTGGTTCTATTAAACAGAACAGATTATTTTACAAAATAAAAGTTAACTTATTATTATTTGACCTAGAATTTCTTGCTTGCTTTCTTTAGTTACAAAACTTGTTTCTACCCATGTTATTTTTTAAGAAATTTAATGAGTGAAGTAGAAATTCTTGCTCCTTTAACAAAAAGTAACTTAAGATGGATTTTTTTCTTATACAATTTTACCATCTATTTTGATGCATATCTTGAAACGTTTTTTTTTTACATCTCTTAGAAGTTTATTGATTTTACAAATTTAGTTTCAGTTAAAGAAGCTAGGTCTTCACTTAAAAAACTTTTAAAAATTTATAGAGATATTCTATAAATTTTTTTTTTTGTTTCTTATATTTTAAAATATTACATATATATTTGAATTTTCTTTCACTTTAAAAGTGTCTTTCATCTTTTAATGTTAGTAATTAAAGGAAAAAATGTTTAAATACCGTTTTATTAAAAAAAAAATTATATATATCAAGAGAGAGAGAGAATATGTATTGCTATTTTCTTCTTCAAGCTCATTTTTATATTTGTTCTTTCTTCAGTATTTTTAAGGAAAATAACTATCAAAGTTTTGCATGAAAATTTCTTGCTATTTCCATGAAAAACATTATATATTTTTTGGATGTAACTACCAATAGTCACCAAGCTAAGGATTAAAAATGTAAATTAATGTATTAAAGTTGTTGAATTGCCTTTTATCTTTCTTGGGGAAAAAATCTGAGTCTATATGAATAGCTTCACCTTTGACTTTTCCTTTCTCCACCCCCCCCCCCAAAAGTGACAAGCATTTCATTAACTCATTTTTCCTAATTCTAGACTTAGATACTCTGAGTAGTATTCCGATGATTTATTTATTTATTTTATAATTAGATGGTCCCTATGAAAATCACTTTTAAATTTTCACTTTTTTAAGTAGGTACTAATATTATATAGAATTTTGTAATCAGATTAAATTTATTATTTTAGATAAAATTTTGTTTACTAATAGAAATAATTTTAAAAAAATGATAAAAAAATATTTTTCAGGTGCATTAACTGATTTATAAATAAAATAAAATTACCAATAGGCTTTACCGTTACCTAAAACAGCAAAACAATGATAAACATTTTTGAAACTCTAAGCACTATAGATAGTAAGACAAATCTAATTAATATATTAATAAAATGAATTATAACAAGACTCGGATGATCATTGAAATCGTACATCAAAAGTCCCTTTTCTCAATGCACATGTTAGAGAGACTTAAGTACTCAAAGTAATAATTCAATAAATTTAAATTTGTAATATTCCCGTTTTTCATGAAAAATAAAATCTTATAAAGTTATTACTTTTCAGTAGGTATGTAATTTGGCTGGAAAAAAATCCATAGTTTTTTCTCAAAATTTTCACTCTCTTTTCAGAATTTGCATATGGAGGCCATCCCTTTAATTTTTCTGGGATATTTGAAATAGTTCCTCGAGATGCTGGTGACCTAGGTGATCATTTTAAATTCAGGTCTGTTAAATTATTACACTTTATTAATTATATCTACAGGATATTGATTAGGTACTAAATTTCTATTTCTTTTGAGCATTGAAAAGAACCTTAATGATGTGGGGGAACATTATAAGAATGCAGCTTAGTTAATTTATTTTCTTTTATTTGTTAATTGGTAGAAAGTAAATGATACATTTTCATATGTTTGAAGAAAGTTAATGTAAAATACCTTTGTATCTCAATAAAGTATGTTATGACTACTTAGATTATTCTAATTATATTAAATTAGATATTTATTTAACAATGAAGTTGTGGGTGTAGGCTAAATAGGCTGATGGAATGATTGATATGGCTCTGTTAACATTTTCAATATTATAACTATTTATATCTTATTTATTTTTGTCCCCTAATATTCTAATATAATAGGATTTTTTATAATGTGTTTATTACTTTTTTATTGTTAATTTTAAAGAGATTTTTTTTCAGTGATAACATATTTAAGAAATGAATGCCAACAACAAATAAGATAAGTTCCAACATGGCAATACAAGTTATATTTTTTAGCCATTTATCTCTGCAGTTTTTATTTACCTCTGGTTATTGTATCATTTAATTTTGCAGTTAATGAGGAAATTTACTTTACTATAACATATTTTCTATTGATGTGATATATGGAAATTTAAAATTAGATTATTAAAAAAAAAGCTGAATGCATTTCATCAATTTCAGAAATAAAAAACGTATTTATGTGAATGTTTAACTTTAGAAGAAAATTAACTAAGTTACCATGTTAAAAATTAAAAAGTTGCTATTTTGATCTTCTTCAGTCATGTATGTATTACATTTGTGATTTTTTATAATGTTTCATTCGACTAGTATTAGAAAAAATTTTTGGGATTTATTAATAAAAATCAACCACATTTGGTTTTTGTGATAATAGAAATAATTTTGTGATATTTGAAATTTTGTGATAATAGATACAAAAATTTTGCATATTGTTTATTAATGAAAACTAATTCTATTGTTAGGGAAGCCATACTGATTGGTTATACAGAGTTTACTGAAAGAGAAGTTCGTCGTGTAATTGAAGAGCTGGGAAAAGAATTCAAAGGAGATGGCTATCATTTAATGAATAAGAATTGCAATAATTTTTGTGGACGATTAACTACGGTATGATATTGCATATTGTATGTTTCAAAAACTTTTATAACTTATTGTTGTTGAATAATCAGAAATTTTTTTTTTGTCTTATGTGCTTTCTGAAAGTTTTGAACTATAATTTATCGCTAATAGCAATTAAAGCCTCTTTTTTCTTTTTCATCTAACTGTCTAGCCTGGGAAATTATGCTCTAACAAAGTAATATCAAATTGGAGGTAACGAAATAAGTACAATGTTGTTTGTTAACCTTTTCGTTAAACTCTTTATTATTTTATATTTGAAAAAAAAAAAAAATTAGTCTCATTAAGAGAGGCTGAGATTTGCTAGCGTTATTTAATTTCAATAAATTTTTACTCATTGATTGAATTTAACAATTTGATCTTTTTATTTCATTTTTTAATACCAGCAATATTAAAAAGATTTTTTTTTTTTTTAAATTTTACATTACTTCTAATCCATAACTCAATTTTAGTGTTTCTCAAATTTTTCACTCTGATGTTGCACTTAAAATAAATTTTCTTTCCCAAAATACATTGCATTTTTGAATATAACAAATATGATACTTTCAATAAAAAAAATAAAAAAAACTTCTGCTCTAATGAATCAAAATATACACTTCTGTTATGTTTATCAAGTTGATATGTCTGTTTTTTTATGTCATGGCAAACTCTTTTACATATAATGAGTTTATAAGAAATGTATAAGAATATTATTAATTCAAAAACTCGTTGAGATAAGTATAAAAATTACATTATGTATTTGGAAAATAATAAATAAATTTTTTCACTAATTAGTGATTTAAATTTTATTTTCTGAGAAAATTTGAAACTAGATACACAGACTCAAAAAAACTCTTCTTTGGCCTGTATCCCAATTGCTTTGAAAATCCATTTTGTGATTGTTTGAAGACAATTTTTCCTTAATAGTATATAATAGTTTTTTTTTTTACTTACTATACTTTTCAATTTTAACCCTAGTTTTCAAACCCAGATTTTTTGCACGATGTAATTTTATGGTTAGTACTTGTTAGGGGTATATAGCTGTTTTTTATTATGCATCATCAATAAATCAATTTAATCAATATGGAAACTTCAGAAAATAAAGAATTTTAATAATTTTTTCAAAGATAAAACTTAGTGACTGAATTTTATTATTCCAGACATCTGTTATATATATTCAATAAACAACCATCTGTACAATAGATAAAATATAAGTATAATTAATACTTAGATAAATATACTTATACTTAGATATTTTTTAGGAGAAACATACATGCATGTAGGCTAACCAGACTGTTGCTACCTTTCCACCTTTTTTCGTACAAAATAGAAAATAGCTTTTAATAACATTTTAGCATTACCTGATTAAAAAAATTTAATTTGCTTCAAAAATTTACTTAATGGAAATAACAGTCGACATTTTACAAGCCCTCAAAAATAGGTCTCCATCTTAAGATTTGAAAGATACGAATGAGAAGAAAGAAAAGTGATTTTAAATGTAAAATGTAAAGTTGTCAATAAAAAAATGGAAGATAAAAATGGAAACAAAACTAGGAAAACCTCAGTAGCCAAGAGGGAATAAAAGGTTACTGAGTTTTTTACTCAGCTTCTGAGGATTCTCTAGTTTTGTTTCTCACTTTTTTCATTGGCAACTTTACATTTTACAATTGAAATCACTTTTGTCTCTTATCATTCGCATTTGGCAAATCTTTAAAATGGGTGCCTATTTTTGAGCGCTTAAAACATGTGGATTGTTATCTTCTATCTGTACATTTTTGAAGCAATGGAGTTTTTTAAACATGTAATGTCTTACCACTTCATTTTCTTGGGATTATTTAATGAATGTTTTAGCATGTTTATTTGATTTTTGACATATTTAAGAATGTATTTTTTTTAATAAATTTCCTTTAACCAAAGCTTAATTATTTTCAATAAAAAATATTATAGCTGGTAATTAACATTCCAGATACCTTACTTCTTAGAAATGAAATATTATGTTCAGAAGGAATAAATCAATTGAAATTATATGGTCAGTAATAGACTCTTGATTCATATTTATTTTTGGCCTGAACTGTGACTTTGAGTCTGAGTTATGATATTCATTCTTGGTCTAAAATTGCGATTAAGTGTCTGGCTCTTTAATGTAGACAAAGGATTAAAATCAAATAACGGATTGCAAATAATATAATTTTATGTTTCTTTTTAATCTTTGAAAACAATGATCACAGTTGGGTTTTTTGAAGGTTATATCAGTTTCATATCGTGATAGTAATAATTAACTATAAGTTAATAATACATTTTTGGAGTTCTTTTTATGCAAGTAACATTAAGAATTTCTCCTAATTATTTTACCATTGCTTTTAGCCTGTTCATTTGATTTAATAAATGTAGGATTTAACTTCCATTTAAACCAGGAAATTTTAACTGCTCTAAAATTTTAAAGATCAAAATTTGTTAAATCATCTTATTTTTTTGTTTTAATCATCTTTATAATTTTAGATTAAATATCTAAAAATGAACAGTCTGAAGTATTTAAAAGTTAGCACTTGAATAAACAAGTGGATAAGAAATTTCTTGAACAGTAAAATAAGTTTGAATTATATTGAATGTAGCAATATTTAGTTGCCATCTTGTGTTAATTGATCACTTTACCAAATCACAAAAAAAAGACAGATTTCAGTAATCAAACATTGCCGGAGATCTTATTTATTTTTGTGTTACAACCCCTTTTTTTAATCCTTCTTAAAATTAACTTACTTGTAACAGGCTCTTTCTTTGAACTTGTTATCTTAAATTAAATTTCGGTTTTTAATTTTATTTTTCTGTAGATACTTTGTGGGCAAGATATTCCATCTTGGGTGAATAGAGTAGCTTACTTTAGCTCTTGCATTCCGTTTATACAACAATGTTTGCCTCAAGAATGGATGAGATCAATTGTCTTGCAAGCATCAATACATGATAGCATGGATTCACCAAATAACTCCTCCGAGTCTACAAGAAACAAACACGAAGATTAAATTTCCTATTATTATTAAATATTCTAACCAAAAAGTTTATACCATTGGCTGCAAATTATTCAAATTTCAATATGATTTTCTATGGGATAATTTAATCATAAAAATTGTTTTGCATTGTTCTAATCACCCTAATTTTAATGTTCATTATTAAAATATATAGGTTGCTAAGTATTTTTTTTACCTTTATGTTTTTTTTTATTAAAAAAGTATTTTGTTAATTTTTTAAACTTTGATTTTTAACTTAATTTCAACCTCATTTGTTTACTGATTAACAGGTTTTATATATGAATTAACGATATTAAATTAAAGTTTGGTTTTTAATTTGATTTTCCTACAGATACTTTGTGGGCAAGATATTCCATCTTGGGTGAATAGATTAGCTTACTTTAGTTCTTGTATTCCTTTTTTACAACAATGTTTGCCTCAAGAGTGGATGAGTCCAATCGCCTTACAAGCATCAATACGTGATCGTGATAGCATGGATTCATCGAATAACTCCTCAGAGTGTAGAAGAAATAATCATGAAGATTAAATTTTGCAATTAATTTTAATATGCTCATGGAATAAAGTGGGAAATCAAAAAGTTACAAGTATACAATGACTGCAAATTATTCAAATTTCTCTATGATTTCCTTTGAGGTCTTCTTGTTGTCATAATCTAATCATCATAATTTGAAAGATCGTCATCAACATGTTTACAACTGCGCTGTTTATATGTTGATGGCTATTAATGTGGAAATTTTCAGCATCAACGCAATTTTGTTTTTCATTACAGTAATGATGAAATAATCTTTCACATGTTGACATTTGCACATCATGATATTTCTTCGATTTTAAAAACAGTAAATTCTATTTATTACAAAAAATTATTTATTTAAATTTTTTTTAAATAACAATACCTAATAGTAAATAAAATAACATATTATACATGGCTATATATGGGCAAGTAAAAACATTTCTTTCGTTATGAACATACATTACAATACTATAATTTATTTGAGTAGGTACAATGTAAAAAGTCAAATAAACTTTTTACTATCATTAATCTGTTTTGAATAAATTAACAACTTTATAACTAATTAACAACTTAACAAATAAAACTTTGATATTTAAATAAAATGGAATTGTATGCTACTGTCATTGAATAAATAAGTCTTCTAAAAGTTAGAAGCTTTGTTCATTTCAAATTATATAAAATGCATTTTTATATTATATACTACTAAGTTCCATATCCGGATGTTGGTTTATAAACATCTATTTGACTATTTTTTCCCACTTTTTTAACAAACAAAATGCATACATTTCTTTTCATCTTTATTTATTTATTTATTTGCAATGCGTTAAAAAAGGAATTAGTAAAAAAAAAATTTTTTTTTTACTATCAGAAAAGAATATTATGAGACGCTCTTTGTTTCCCTTTAAATTATAAATGTTTCCATTAAAAACTCTACTCACAATTCTGTTCATTGCTTATTAAATTTACTTCAAGAATTGATCTAAACTCTATCTTTCACCCCCATCCCCTTGTGGGGCTGGGGACAGCTTTGAAATCTTAAATATGAACCCCTTTTTCTTATTCCAGATTCGAATTCTCCAAGAAAAAGTAACTTTATTTTAGTTGTAGGTTTATGCATTTTGCTTTACAGGTGCCGCTGTAACGGAGAAAATTAAAATAGGCTGCAAACTGTTTAAAATGTTGGTAACTAGAGACCTATCAGATTGCTAAATAAATAAATTAAAATTCGGTATTTTTTTGTCCAAAAAAAAAAGATAAATTTTTTTTAAACGTATCTATTTTTATCTTCTTAACTTGATGGATTTTGAAATTTGCCATTTTAAACAGCTTGTACCCTATTTAATTTTTCTTGGTTACAGCGCCATCTGTGAAGCAAAATGCATGAAACTAAGACTCAAATAGAGTTACTTTTTCCTGGAGAATCTGAATTTTGCTATAAAATATACAAGCTCATATTTAAAATGTCAAAGCTGCTCCCACCACCTCGCCTTAAGGGATTGCGGGTGAAAGATTGAGTTCTATATCATTGAATACCTTTAAAGTTTTCACTTTTTTGAATATTTCTTGAGATATTTGACCGTTTCCTAACTTTTTTTATTCCCTGTATATATCAATCTTAGTTAACTAAAGAAAATCACAAAACACTTCTTAGTTAACCAAAGATCATTTCAACTACAAGAGAACGTTATGGTATTGAATTACCGTTAATTATCTTCCATTCGTTATTTTTTTTAATTAAATAATGCATGTTTTGATCTTTGTTTACCTTAAAAACTTATTGTTAAGAAAAGTCTATTTTCCCAAACTTGCTGAAATCTCGACGATACGGATATGGGACATTCTAGGTATATATTTTCTTTTTTTTTTAGTATAGCAAAATTTTAATTTAGTACATTTATTTAGTTTTTTATTGCCAAAAGTCCCAATATTTATAGAAATTCTGCTACTGTTTCTAATTTACTTTTCTGGCAAAGTAAATGCTTTTCAGAATATTATACATCTCATAGGAAAATGTAGCGGAAGTTGTCTAATTTGAGCCATTCTGTTTCATAATTATAAAGCTATTATCAAGAAAACTAATGTAGTCTCTAATGTTGTTTTTAGTCAAGAGTTTTTAATTGATAAGTGCAGGAATGTCTTATTTTTTAGCTTTATTGCATTTTTGTAGCATTTAATCATCAATTATTATATTGTAATGAAACTTTATGAATCTGTTTTTATGCTGCACGTTTCCATATGAGTGGAAGTTTCGATTTCAACTTTCATTTGCTTTGTGACTGTGATTTTGATACGCTCAGTATTTTGTTTTGTGGCATATATTTAAATGTTTTAGGATGTACTAATTTATACTTGTGTGTTGTGTTTTTGGAAAATTTTAATTCAGATAATTAAATAAAGGTTGTTTTTTTAAATACGTTGTGGTTGTTTTAAATTTTAACTATAAGATTTTAATTATTAACTACCTTTGTTTGTGAGACAATATAGTATTCAGCAGCTGTATTATGGTACATTAGATTTTTATTTATTAAGAGATCAGGAGCTTGGTTGAAAATTCGATTAATGTTGATCTCTCTTTAATGTTAATTTATGTTGATTAGTGGTTAATTTCTCTTTTTTTTATATATCGCCATATATATTTTAGAAAGTATTAAAATGATTAAAAAATTGATGCACAAATATAATAAACTCGTTTATTCGAAAATAAAGCAGTTTTCTATTATTTTTTTTTTAAAATTATATCTTATTTTACTATTCAATTTACTATTCAATTTACTAAACAATTTAATAATGTTTGAAAGAGTTTGAATTGCAAAATATACAAGTTTTAGCTCATTTTGAACTATAAATTTTCAACGACAATATTCGAAATTTGGGCAGAATCGGAAGAATAGTTCTTGAGAAGTGAATATTTAAAAGCAATACTTGATTGAGTTTTACTTGCTCAATCATTCGACCTATTTTATTCAAATTTTACGTTTTTAATTTGATATTGCTTATTTTAAATTTCAAATGAGAAAAATATTTGTGTACTTTTTAAATTCAAGCATTTTCATTATTAAATTATACTGTAAAGAATTATAAATAATTTTTGAAAATTATATTTTGCACGAAATTATCTTTCTCTTTTTTTTAGACTGTGGCAACTGCTTTGCTCCCCCCCCCCATGTTTAGAGGATTTTTTGTCTGATTTACTAACTTAAAATATGTACAAATTAATTAGCTTATTTAAGGGTAGATACTTGAACTACGTAATCCCATGAATTCAGTGAGAAAGAGAAAGGAAATTTTATAAAATAAGTTTTAAAGTGCAATAACCTTTGGTGACTATGTTGTGCTGATAAGATATCCCCACTGATAGAATTCCGAATGCCTTCGGGCTAACCATGAGAGGTTTGTTTTATGTAACGTAAATGCAAGATAATATTAATCCAAAAGTGTTTTTCAGAAGCGAGTGAGCTGGTAGTCTCTGATCAGGCTTACAAATTTAACGTTCAAAAAATGAATATTTATGACGTCAAATGTGGTGGTGTGAACATTTGATATTTCGTCAAATGTACGTGCTATGTTCAGCGAGATAGTAGTGTCAAAGAAATATTTAACAACTTGTGAGTAAATTAATATAGTGGGAGAGAGTACCCATGGTGTTTTACACAATATAACTTTCACTACCATTTTCATACCTAATTAATTTTTAATTGTTTGCAAAGATTATTAAGAGACGTTATCACGGAACGCCTGTATATTTATAAAGTTTGTATATACAATTCTACAGCTGTTCGATGGGTCGTTCCATTGAAATAGTGTTTTTTATTTTTTAATAATCCATTTAAGTATTTTATTTTCAACATTTTGCGTAAAAGTTTTAAGAATTTGAAATTTGCGCGGATATTTTTAACGCATTATAGGAAATCGTTTGAAACATTTTAAATTTTTTTTTGTGTGTGTGTGTGTGTGTTTTTTAGTATCCGAAAACTTAAGAACGGACTGAGGATGTGGGGTCTATCAAATGAAAGCTTGAATACGGGGCCTTTAAAAAATAAACTGGTTTTTATTTTACGAAATTTCCTAAAAAAAACTATTTATTCATTTCGTTATTTTTGCTAAAGATAGAAAATTATTTTATAACATGATTTGCTAATTTATTAAAAAAAAATTCAATCTTTTTTAATCTGAGTATTTAATGATTCATTTTTGAATTTTTAAAAAAAAATTACCTAATTAATGCCCCCTTTTAGAAAATTGAGTTTGTAACAAATAATAAAATTACTTATGTTAATCTAAAACTTGTTATCTATTAAGTACATTGTGGTGTGTAATTTTGTTCGATAAATCGTAAGTACAGTGTTTAAGAGGCCTCTACTCTCGCCATCTTGGATTTTAAATTAAATTTTTAATTCGCATTTTCTCGATATTTTTTGTGCTTAGTAAACTTTTGATGATATACGAGTAGTATTATTAGACAGAATATAATTAGTAGTATTAGTATTAGTCGAAATATTAGTATTATTAGACGAAAGGCATAGTGCATTATTATGCTTGATAATTTTTAGAACTTCTATGAATTCTTCCTCAGTACTTTAAAGCAATGAAATTATGCAATTTGTGGTTTTGAGTTAGTTATTTAAAACCACACATTTCTCAGTTTATAGATTTTTTTAAATCTAATTTTATTTTGATTTAAATTGATGAACACCGATATGGGTGACGCTAAAAAAATCACTTTATAACTAATAGCATTAAAACAAAGATCCTTTTAAAAATTTAAAACTGTTCACTATTTAATTCCTTATCACAGACTGTTGATTACGGAATTATATTCGCATCATTTTGTCAGAAAAATCATAGAAAATATAAATACCGCGCTTTATATTTCAAATTCTAACTGGGTGGCGGCCTTTTTTTGTGCGCGGTATCGAAGGATGCTGCCTAATTCACCTCCCTCTGACGTGAAAGTCAAATTCCCAGCAGTGGCTGGTCTGGTTGATACGAATTCTCTTGGCTCACAGCGACCACAGTGATTACGAAAAATATCCTTAATTTTTGTCGGTTCATGGGTTAGAATCTCCTTGCCGTCGGGCTAACCACGGGAGAATTCCGTGGTATCTTTCTTCATGAAGCGCAAATGCGTTAGTTCCATAAAAAAAGTCCTCCACGAAGGCTTAATACTTGATCCAGGAGTTCCCTTGTCTTCTGGGTTTTCAAAATTACAATATCACGTAGTGGAACATTCTAAGTCGTTAACTCAGAATTGGGTTCGCTGCTCAACACCGGTCATAAAAAAGAGTTCTACAAAAATATTTTATTGATGATGAAACATATCAATGAAAATATGTTCTCGAACTTCAATACACATTTAATTTCCATGAATATGGGATGCCAGAAGTCCAGCATAGTTGCTGAGATCAGGAGGAAGGGGACAGAATGAGAATATGACAATTTCGTGGGCAAATAATGGCATATTCCCCTCATTGCTTTCTGGTCTTTGAACCCTCCTTAAAAACCGCATGAAATTTGTTCGATTTTTTTTCCATCTTCTTCATAAGTAGCGGAAAAAGATCTTTTACTTGACTAACTCGTCCTAACCTTCTAAGTTAATAAAGCGGATCAAGATGATGTTGAAAGGATGCTATTTTGAGAGAATAGCCGACACGCTTGTGGGGATAATGAAAGCCTAAGATACAACCCGTTGATAAATTACACTTTCGTTGTTTGCTATGCTTTCACCTTTTCCTTAATAAAGAGTTATAAAATTAAGATTTGTCTCGCTTGAAACTGGTGTTAATTTACTCTTTTAATAGATCGCCTTTTATTGCTATTTCGAATACGAAAACTAAAAGCGTTTAACACGCGGGTTGATGCGAAAGCAATTTACGGAGTAGAAACTAGAACTTTTTAAAATAGTAAAACATTTAGTAACCCTTTATAAGGCCGTGGCAAGTGAACTTACCACTAATTTCGTATTTTTAAATGTCGATGGGATGCCATTTGCCATATATATATATATATNATATATTAAAATTAATTTTTATAACATTAAAATTTTAATAGATATATTGAAAATTAATTTTATTTTAGTATTTTTTCATCTTCATAGTTTAGGCAAATGAAATGTAATTTTGAATTTGTGTATGATGTACTTCTAAATTAGGCTTCACGTTGTTTACAATTTGCCTTTGTGGAAAAAATTATATATTTTGATTCTATGATTAAAAACTATGCATGTTAACTGAAGCTTATCGACTCTTTTAGAGAGCCCCCAAGCGATTTTGTGCCCAGGGCCCCGAGATTACTATGCCGGGTCCTGTTTGTAGTTCTAAACACAAAATGAATAGATTCACTTTTTTATAGGCAGAGAAGTTCACTTTTATGGCCAATTGTCGCGAGTGGTAGAATTTTGAAAATCCCTTCTACATTCACATGAAAAAAAGCTCTTCTATTTATAAATCAATCTCTATCCAAGAAATATTTTAACATATCATTACTAGATAAAAAATAGCCTTAGACCTTGAGGAATATGCCTCTAAAAATTTTTTTTAAATGAGCTTCTGAATCAAATGAATTTAGTTTGAGATCAACTGGGTATTAAAGTTCTAATTTTAAAAATATTTAATTTTTGAAAAAATATTAATTCTAAAATATTTCAGGGTGTCGCAAAGCTCACACAAGTAATTTCAAGGAAAACACAAATATTTTTTATAATTATTTTTTATTTATTTAATATAGGTTTATGTACCTAATAGCATATTGGGTAAATGGCCAGTGTGGTTTAGCACTTATATTTTGACTTATATATAAATCCAGTGCACTATTTTGTCAAAAATTTCAAATGATCTGTTATGCAAAAATGTGACTGAATTTCATTGACCAGAGTCTTGAATTTTCCTCTACAAAGCGGTGGTGTTTATGGGCAATAGACTTTGAAAACTTAAAAAAAAAAAAAAAGAAGAAAAGGTCTTATGAGATTAATCTAAATTTTAATTACCAAATGCAGACATCTACTAGTAATTTGCAGAAAATAAATTGTACTGAGAAAAGAAACTTTTGTACAAACTTGCACAGGGGGTTAAATTTTTAAAAATGAAAAGTGTTTAAAAAATGAGAAAAAACAAGCGAAACCTGTAAGCCTAAGATTCGGTTCATGTGTTCTAGTCATAACATAATGTAATTCTATGCCATTACCAAATTGCGCATGGAATGTTGGCTAGTACCTAATTTTCAAATTATATACATGTTTACCTTGAAGAACCTAAAAAAATTTATCCCCTCCGCAGAGGATCAAAATTGTGATAACATGTCTTCGAATCATCTTCAGGGATGTTTCTTAGACCATCGCCAATAGTCCATTGTGCAGCTCTAATGCGACGTAAATAAACTACAATAACCTAATTTTTTTTTAATTTAACTTAAATTTTGAAAAAAGGAAAATTTAAGTTTGATATAAAAAATTCTTTTAATAACTTAGGAAAAAATATGAGTATACTAAATAGTGGATTCATTCACCTATAGTGGATATCAATAGTGAATATCTTAGCCATGACTTTAATTTTCTGGAACCATGATAAATGTTTGTTTTGTTTTATTTATTTTTTACTCATTGAAATTTGTTCATTATTTACTTTGTTTTATTTTTCTTTATGAAATTTATATCTTGGATCTTCGATTTTCCTTAGATCATGGCATTTTTATGCATTTTGAGAAAGGAAACAGATTTTCAATTTAAGGCAACTTGTATGTTTTAAAGCAACTTTCATGAATACAAAATTACGGGACATTCCATATGCAAAATCATAGCCTTCCGTCAAATCTTTGATCATAATCATTGATCGACACAATTTTATTTCTCTCCAATATATGGAGTTATCATGAATAATTTGAATAATTGTGTTTTTATTATGAGGAAACTTAGAAATGGTTATACCAAAATAGTGTCACAAATCGCTTTTTAACTGACGCAGTGATAAATTACTATTTTCAACTCAATTTATATTACACTGAATTACAGAAAAACCCAAAAAAAACTTCCTTGGCGAAAGTTAAAAAGATAGGTTACGATATGAAACTCTTGGCTATTTTACTGTCCCGTTTGCTGAAATAAAAAAGTACGATATTGAATGGATTTTAATGATAGCATAATAACGCAATAGTATCATTATTTTTGAGTAGTTTACTTTTATTTCCCCGCGGCTTTTATTAGAAAGGGAAAGGTATTTACACACTCTCTGACATTATAAGTCTAAACGTACTACCTGTTGAGAACTAATACTACTTTCTCTTAAATGCAACCATGTGTAAAACTACGCATAGCAATGAACTTCTCAGTCATATTTCATCTGTTTCCAAAATGTAGTCGTTTCCTTAAATTCACAGTGACAACAACCACTTCATATTTTAATCCTTTCCACTGCCAAGGGCGTCACTATCAGTCAACTAAACGTGTGTGGCCATTGGAGCAGGAAGAATGTCTATTTAAAGACTAAATACATCTAACGAATCGTTTTCATTTTCAGTTTTGAATTTTCATCTCTCGTTTGAAATCGTCTGCCTTTGCTCTGTGGAATAATGGAACTTCAAGTAAGTTTACCAATTTACACGTACCTAAAACGCCATTAAATACATTTGAGGTTTAACCTGTCATCTCGGTGTTTTTATTTATTTATTTGTTTACGAATTTTTTTTCAAACGACGAAATTTTTTTTTTATAAATGATTTAATTTGTGGCAATATCTGAGGTTTACTTATACTTGTCATTCTATTCCGTTTTTTTTTTTATTAAAACTACAGAAATTTATTTCATAAATATGTGTACCTTCATTCTTTTTACAATAAATAATTCTGTTGAAAAAATTACTAGCAAATTTGGAAATATACTGTTTTATTTTATTTATTATATTTTGATTGCTTTGATATTAAGTAATAGCTAAAGAAGAAATAGTTTTAAAGATATTTTTCATTGATTATTGTACTAATTATATTTTGTAGCTTAAAAAGTACAAAGTGCAGTAAAAGTCTGTTATAACGATAGTTTATGGTAAAATTGCTATTATAGCGATTCCGTCATTTAAAGCAAATATATACATATATTTAACGTTAAAATAGCAATAAAAAGACTTAAGTGTAATAGTGGGCAATAGCTATTGATGTTATTGATAATATTGTTTTAAATAGAAGAGGAATAAAAGGCACGGTAGTAAAAAAAAGTCACATTTAATTGGGATTTCTAAAAATAATCTTTTCATGTTCCTTTCTTAAAAGAATTTTTCTATTAAGAAAAGAAAGGTACATTGGCCGATTCATTCATGTTCACTTTAAAAACACAGAGGTTCAAGATTGTTAGAAGAAAATAATGTGACATGATGTTCGATTTGCACTTTTCTGTAATGATACCATCAATAAAAATAACGTGTTAATAAGCAAGTTCATACCAGAATATCTAAAAGGATAAGGTATACTTCGTGCTACATAGACTAAAGTGAAAAACAACGTGAATAAAGCACAAATCTAGCACAGTAATGGGCATACCAGAGTTTCGGTTCTAGAAACAAGAACCTACCCTAGTGTCTATGTTTTGGTGTTTAAGCTCTGACAAAGGTTCTTGTTCTCAATCTAAATTTGTTTTGACACTGAGGTATGTTTTGGTGACACTGAGGAAGGTTCTTGTCTAGAGAACTGAAACTATAGTTTGTCCTTTACTGTACTTGATTTCTGTTTTACTCACGTTGTTTTTCTTTTTAACAAACAAATATTTTTTTTCTAGCTCGTTGGTTTTAATGAATAAAGGACTGAAAGTATATGAAATTTTAAGAAGTATAAAGTTTAGCTTATCGCAGTTTTATGCAAATAATTAAAAAAAAAAAAAACAAATAGCGCAATTTTAAATAAAATGAATGCCTGAAAAATGAAGCATGTATTTCATATGAGATCAATTAAATGGATTATGTATTAAACATGGTGAATATTAAATGGAATTATTTGGTAAATCAACACAATTTTTAATTCAGTTTATGCAAATTTATTACAACATGAATCCTAATTCTATGAATTCCAAAGGTTTTTAAATCAAATGACTATAGATATACTTTAAATACACAAGAAATTGTATTATATAATTTTTTATTTCTAACACTCATTTAGTAGTTAAAAAGTAGTATTTTTAAAAAAAAATGTTGTGCTATGATAACAAAAATCTTCTTTAATAGTTTTATTAGAACAAATATTTATAAGAAAAAATTGAGTCGAACGCAGGAGCACGAATTCCTATAAAATGATAGACTCTTTGGAAAAAATATGAAATCAAACTAGACACGAAAAACTAAAATTATTTTGATGCAAAAAACAACTTAAAAACTTTTATAAAGTGTTTACAATTAATTACTTATCAAGGTTTTATTACATTCGATTTTATTTTTGATATTGTAGTTGCTGTAAGTTTTATGAACGTATAAATAAATAATCAGCTGTTTAAAATCATTTGCGATAACTTGGACACACAAATGGGGTTCTGACCTAAAAAGTTTTTTTAATATTTTTTAATTGATTTGAATATATTTTCTGCTTATATTTTAAAGCGTATTTGTTAAATAGTGTGTAGATTGTATGGGGTTTTTTATGCTACAAATTAACAATTTATCATTTGAAATTAACTGATTGCAGATGGATGTGGTTTTAATAATTTAGATATATCAACTTAATTTTAAAGCTCTCTTTTAATCAACTTAACTTTTTAAAAAAAATATTTTATCAATCGGGATACATTATCCTATTACTTATTTTGTGAAATGAATATTACATAACATCTTATCATCTTGCATTTATCTTCATCTATTTCATTTTTATTAATTAATTAAAATTCTATTATTTTTACCAAAGTAAAAAAAAAGTTTCTTTCAAAGTAAAAGTTATTTTTTTTTTTTCAAAATAAATTTGCTTTCGTCAGATTATTTTTATAAAATCCTTTTACAAAAATAACTTTAAGCTACGAAACTTTTATTATTACATGACTAAACGACATCTATATANAAAAAAGTTTCTTTCAAAGTAAAAGTTATTTATTTTTTTTTTTCAAAATAAATTTGCTTTCGTCAGATTATTTTTATAAAATCCTTTTACAAAAATAACTTTAAGCTACGAAACTTTTATTATTACATGACTAAACGAAATCTATAAAACTGGTGAATTCAATAAAATTTCGCTGATTTACGTTAAAAAACACTAAATAATAGATAATATTACAATAAATGGCTTAAATTAAAGAAAATTTCAGAAATCTTCACTGTGTTATAAAATTAAGTATCATATTTTTTTTTCTTTTTAGTTGCTGTTCATTTTATTTTCAGCCGTGATTCCTGAGATTTCTTCGTTAACAGCTGAAGATTTAGTAAGTTGTTAGTTTTATTACCTTCATAGTTTGTTGAATTACGTACTCGTTTAACTATCTACTTATATTTTTTAAAAATGTTTTTTTGTTAGCATGTTGGTTTCCGAAATTCATTTACGAATTTTTATTTATAAAAAGAAAAATAAATAAATAAATAAAATAAAAAACCTAACCTTTTAACCCAAAATGAAATTATGAATTTTAGAGGATTTCAGCACCCTTGCTTTTGTCTTCTATCTTATTTGGATTATACCTTACCCAGAGAAAGTTTAGTATACCTTAGAATATTTTACTCCGAGTAGCATTTTACCTTGAAAGGTGACTCTGGAACTTTTAATAGACTATTTTACTTATTTTTACTTTCTTTTACTTGTGGCGTAACTACCACTATAAATATTAAATACCAATTCACTAGTGTATATTAACTTGATTCTATCAAGAGGTGCATTCTGATAGATGAGGGTTGACGTAGTCGATAAATAAATTCCAATAATGGTGACCTGAGGACATGATATGAACTTGCCATCATTGATGGCTGGTCCGCATTAAATAGTTGATTTGCTTAAAAAAATACTGCCCCCCCCCCCAAAAAAAAGGAGAAGTAAATAAAGTTTCCGGGTCAATAAACAATATTGAAAATAAATAAATAAATAATGAGCGAAATGCTATAAACAGAAAATGAAGAAAAGAAAAAATAAAATGAGCAAAAGGAAATAAAAAAAGAAGAAGAAGAAAAACAGCATGAATCAACTAGTGGAAACTGTTCATCGAATTCAATCACAGATAAAATTCTGGAAGGGGAGTAATGTGGCTTAACTATACCATTATAAATATTAAATACCAATTCACTATTCTATAAGACATGTTGACTTGATTCTATCAAGAGGTACCTTTTGATAGATGAAGGTTGACGCAGTCGATAAATAAATCCAATACACTCTTTAAGATATTTTAAGATCCGTTGAACATTTTTTATACTTTTTTTTTTTTTTACTTTTTAAAATTTTTATTCTTTTATACTCTGAGTTGACTCTTTGATTGTTCGCTGTTCCGAGGGTTTCCCTTCGTTGGAATTACTTCTGTAACCTTGAGGTCATTGATGACCTATTTTGTGATGGCCAAACATTTTTTGATGTCTTGAACTTTAACTTTGGTTTAAACTGTACACCCCTTTTCGGATTGGTTTGGTTGATCTTAAACTCACTAATCTCATTAAGAATGTAGATCTATGTCTTTTTTTTTTCCACATGGGCACATTTTGCATTCATAAGATTACTTTTTATTTTTACTTTTCTCTATCGATTCACCAACTTCAAAGGTACTGAGACTGTCCCTAGTTAGATTTTAAAGGTCAATTATCTGAATACGGTAAAAGCAAGCTATCTTGCTTTTCTCAGAGATTACTGTGTTTTATGTCTGATTTTGTAATTTAAGTTATAGTCAGCATTAAGATACTTTAGTTGTATCTATGGAACCATATAGTGCATCTCAGTACGTAATACGATCATTTGGACTCTAGTTTTTCACAGTGCAATATTTTTATTTTGGGCACTATGAATATTAGTTTTACTTTTTTCTATCTTACCCCATAGCCGTGGTGGCTCAGGGGATAGAGAGCTCTCCTTCCAACGAGGTGACCCGGGTTTGATGTTAGTCATGCTTAGTCGATACGAATTCCGCACCCGGTTCGCACCGACAACAGTGCTGTCATAAAAATATCCTTAGTTGCAGATGGATCATGGGTTAGAGTCCCCTTGCCATCAGGCTGTCCATGGGAGATTTTCGTGGTTTTCCTCTTCATATAACGCAAATGCAGGTTAGTGCCATGAAAAAGTCCTCCACGAAGACAACTTTATCCCAATGCTTGATCTAGACGTTCCCTTGTCTTCTGGATTGGGTTCACAATTACAAAGGTACGGTGTTCAACGACGGGTATATATATTAAAAAAAAAGCTACGGAGTTGAACATTGGTAGTCGTAAACTCGAAATTGGGTCGTCTGTTCAACGACGGTTATAATTTCTTACCTCACGAACAAACATACTAGTTTTTCTAAAAAAATTTTTTTAAAAATTGCACGAGTTTCAGTTATTGTAAAAAAGTTTTCAATAAAGCTTAAGGTAGCTTAGAAACACCTTTGAAAGAATTCAATTATTTTCTGTACTTTTATAGTTATTTATATTTTCGATATGCCAGTACAATTATTATTAAAAAAAAAGCTCAAAGTAAAGTAAAAGGCATTTTGTTTTTAAAAAAATTATATCTTTAAATTTCTTTAGATCCCCAAACCTTATACATTTGGTTATGAAGTTCATGACAAAGACGGCGATCAATGGAGATCGGAAATTAGCGATGGATTGGGAAAAGTCCACGGTTCATATGGCTACATCGATAATTATGGCCAACACCGTGAGGTCAAGTACATAGCCGACGAACTAGGGTTTCGGGCAGCCATCAAAACCAACGAGCCAGGAATGGATATGCCCAATCCCGCTGATGTTCTGATGATTGCTGATCCCCCATCCGACTACGATGCTTCCATCTATGGAGTTGAGAACATCATACCCGATGGAAGAACACCTTCTGGTCGAGTACCTGTCAGATCATTCCCCTATGGACGTGTACCATCAGAAAGTAATAATGTAGAGAAATCTGAAAAGCCAAAGAAGTTCTACAAGTACCAAAAATTTGCTGAAGAGTCAACTCCGCCCATCTATGTGGTTAATGGTCATTTACAAAGTCCATGGTTTCCTATGGAAGTAGCCGCCGTTGCTTGAACAGAACCTGTATCATTTATTTACAATTAGATTGCATCTAATTTTTATCAATGTCGTGTAATGAGATATATAACTCAATCTTACAAATCAGCATCCATTTGGGTGTAAATATTACTTTATATTTGCATTCTGTATTTTAAACCCTTTGGAATATTTTAGAGAATAATACATGGAATTAAGATTGTATCGTTGCCACGAAAGAGCTGATTGATAAGGTGGCGAATTCGTGATTTTGGAGACTCGTTGATCAAAGTATGAAAATAGAATTAAACAAAAATTAAGAACAAAATTTAATTTAAAAGCTGTAAATCAAAATGGGAAAGCGCTAAAAAGCAGCTGCAACCAAAATTGTGTTACTTAAACGATATAAATAAAAATGGGAGAATTTAAATGCAAGCAAAACGAAATCTAAAAATGCGCATGTTAGCCAAAACGGCATCAGCATGTTGGCAAGGCGGTGTGTCCCCTGATGAAGTGCTGTTTTTGCTAACATGTTTATCTTTAGATTTCGTTTTGCTTGAATTTAAATTCTCACATTTTTATTTATATTGTATAATTTAATAATTGTCTTTAATCTTGTTTTGAAGTACATAATAGCTGTTGAGAACAGCACGTACAGCAAATTAACAAACATTTCATAAAATTGCATAATTATTTGCTAACAATATTTTCATAAATCAAATTTACTCAAAGAGCTCATGTTTTAAAAACGACTCGGTACAAGAAAGCTTTTTGATCACACATTGCAACTGAGAGTTAGCAAATACTGATTCAATTTAACTTTTTATTTAATCTTTATGCTGGTCCTCACCTAATTATATTCTGCAGCTGATTTCCAAAATGAGTCATCTTTTGGGAACGTTTTCTTGAAAGTGCGCATCGTTTCACATGCAAATTAGATAAAGAATTTTGTACCTACCCCTAGAAGATAAAACATTCTTATACGTGCCAAACTTTAAAAAAGTATTAATAATCTAGATAATTCATTTCAGTTGTTTAAAATAAAGTTTTAAAATAGATATTGATTTAAATTTTTAAAACAGATATTGTACTACTTAGTGATGTCTGACGAATTTAAGGGGGATGGCGAAAATGTAATTATTTTATTTTTCTTGTAAGAATTGGTTAATGAATCGCTGAAAAAGAAAGAATTAACGTTGTTTAAAAGTATTGATAACTTTAGATTTGTTTATTTTTGTGTTCTTGAAAAATTCATTGTAAGGAAATCAGCATAAAATCTTGTAAATACACATATGCATGTAAATATTTCTTTTCATTGTAAATATACATATCATATTCATTTATTGTGTTGTTTCATTTAGACAATAAAATGTTATGAAATTTCAGTTTGGAAATTTGAATTTTTAAAGAATTATTACATTGACTTACCTATAAACTATCCAAAATTATTAATCTTACATTAAGTAAACAGAAAAATTTTCTGGCTTTAAAATAAATAACTTTTAAATAATGTTGAAGATTTGAAAAATTATTGAGGAGCCATGTGCTCTCTTCTCGACGCTACGCCTATGTTTAGCTGAAAGAGGAAAAAGAAAGAAAAAAATTTCTGCTCTTCTATAACGCTCAAAGCTTCTGTTCTCTAACATTATACTCACAACTTGATTGTTTCTGAAAAGAAAAGTCAATTAATATTATGGCGTTATAACAATTACACACATAGAGAGCTTTTTTTTTCTCTTTTCGAAAAAGAGTGTTAGTTTTACCATTAAAAGTACACATAAAATTTAAAAAAAACATCCGCGCAATAGCCTGTTTTGGGCCAAATTGGTCATGGAGGTTAAGATTCCACATAATTGTGGTAATGTGGTCATCACCGCGCCCAAGCCGCCTTTGCTCCACAGTCATATGTCAAATATCAGCCATCACTGTCGTATATCTAATCAAAGCTTCTTTCAAAGTTCCTGTCGCATGTCTATTGTCAGTCACTAAAGCTTCTTTTAAAGTTCCTGTCGTATGTCTAATTTCAGCCCCTACAGCTACTAGTTATATTTCACTAAAGTCTATAGGCATTAACGATTTAGGCTTAGACAATATATAAAATTCAAAATAATATTTTGTGGCTTAACTATCACTACAAATATTAAATAACAAATCACTAGTATATAAGACATGTTAACTTGATTGCATCTTGAGGTACCTTTTGATAGAAGAAGGTTGACATGGACGATAAATAAACCCCTTCATTGGTGACCCGGACGTGAGAAGAGCATGTCAATTTCGATGAATGATCCACTTTAAACAGTTGATTTGCTTAAAAATATACTGCTCATAGAAAAATGAAAAGGAAAAAAAATCCGGTGAAGTAAACTAAGTTTCCCGGTCAATAAAAAACAAACAAGAAAGTGAAGAAAAAAAATATAATGAGCGAAATGCTATAATGAGAGAATTGCTACAAACAAACAAAAAAAAACAAAAAAAAAAAAATGAAGAAAAAAAAATATAATGAGCAAAATTAATATAAATTATTAAGACAGCATGATCAACTAGTGTTATCCATTCGTCGAATTCTATCACAAATAAAATTCTAAAAGGAGAGTAATGTGGCGTAACTACCACTACAAATATTAAATAACAAATCACTAGTATATAAGACATGCTAACTTGATTGCACCAGAGGTACCTTTTAATAGATGAAAGTTGACATAGTCGATAAATTGAATCCCCTCTATTTGACAAATTACGTTTAAGAGTATTGTTTTCCCCCCTTCATTTTTATTCTGCGTGTTATGCTCGTCTAACAAATATTATTCCTGACCAGTATGGCAACTATCTATAGACAAAAACGCAAAGAATTTTTTTTTCTTAAATTGATATATTTATGATTTTTAGTAAAAAAAGAAATCGGTTTCGGACGGGTTGCCCTGTGGATATGACTGGCTGCGCCGCCTTCGACGGCTCTGCTGCTTTGGAGCCAACATTGATAACCACAAAACTAAAAGTTACCTATCCCGAAATAGAGAAAAAAAATCGTCAAAATCAGCTTAACAATGATAAAAATTACAGTTTTTCCAATTTCGGAAGTTTGAAAATTTTCAAACCACGAAGTGTTAAAAAATAAAGCGAGGTTAAGCACGCTTTTTTGTTATTTGTAGTTTTCTTTCACATTATTATGGTCTGTGCTATAAATGTTTATTTCGTGTAATTTATATATATTTTTCCAATTTTAATATTTTACTTACACAATGCGAGCGGAATTTTTGCAAAAATATTAAAATTACAATAATTAAATTATCAAGAATTAAGACAGCAAAAAAAAAAAATAAGACAATCTAAAAACTTGAGTTATTTGAAACGTAACATTGAAATTTGCTATTTCAAATACCATTACAAAAAGTAATGCAATATGGTAATACTTTTAAGCATTTTAACCAAATAAATAAATAGTTTTTATTTATTACAATAGATGGCAGCAGCAATCTTTGAAGCATTCTTGGAAGAGCAAACAGGGAAGAAAAATTAATTAGTAAAACTCTTATATCTATCTTTTTTTTTTCTTTCCTTTTATGATTTATTTCAGATTGAATAAATATACTACTAAAAATATTTCGAATCAATTTTAAAAATTTGGTTAAAAATGTTAAAAAAGGTGTATCTTTACGTTTTTTTCCCCCCTGCAACTTTTTTCCTATTTCAATTCTTCAAACGTAGTGTAAAACGCGAGCCCAAGTTTCAGCAACTAGCATTATACTTTTGAAAGTTGCTCGAATTTTTGATCCAGAACAAATGATGCTTAAATCAAAAATATTCCAAGAATGAGTAATTTATGAATAAAACTGATTATGTTGCATACTAAACATATGTTGAAGGTTGTTTTTATCTCAGACTAAATCAAATTCTGGAACTCAAAGGTATTCTGAGAGAGATTCAATTTACTTTAATCATTAGTTTTAATTCAAAATATTCATTTCAAAGAAAATTGAATAATGTATATTGAAAATCTTTATTTTGATTGAAATAAAGATTTCACAAGAAAAGGTCATTTTTAACTATCTCTTTATATTATAAAATCGTAAGTACAGAAGATGTTTCGGGTGCTCATCTGTGTGTATATGTTACATCTTGTTTTGCTGCGGAAAAACTAAAAGCTTCAAAAATCACAAAGGTGTGTAAAAAACTGTACAAGGAGTACAATGGACTAAAAAAAAAATTCAACATTCGATGATTAATTCTGGAATTATTAAAACTTTACTGTTAAACTTGAAGTAAGAAAAAAGAATGTATTGGCCAAACTTGTCCGTTGAAATGCAACTAAAGATAAAAAATTTTAGTCCATTTTCATTCTTTAGAAAAAAAAACGATTAAAAAAATAGTACAGAAATTAGAAGTAAATTATTAAAAGTTTTAAAATATGTAAATTTAACAACAATGCATTATTCAATTATTAATACCTAATTTTAAGGTTCAAAGTTTGGCAAATTGTAAACTAAATCTGATAAAAAGAAAAATGCACCAAATGAAATGGCCTAAAATTATTCTGTTCTTTCAATCTTTAAAGCTTTGTATATACATATATATACTTTACTTTTTCAATACCTCTGGTGGTACTGAGTTGTTCAGGTCAAAGTTACTATGTGTGCATGAATGAATGAATGTATGAATGGGTTCACCCTTTTAAATGGGTTGTGACGTGTATCTGTGGCTGAAGTCGTATTCTTAGCTATAGATGGCGTCTCTGAAAAAGAAGAAACGCACCCTCTGCCTTAATAAAATTCAGTAATAAATAAGCAGAAACACGACGCGTGTAGCCTGCTGGTTATTGATAATAAGAAAAATAAATTAAATAAAAATTTCTCAAATTTTTTTTTTCTTTCTTTCAAGCTTTGCATAAACAATATGTAATGTAGTATGTATGTATATATATATATATTCAAAGCAGCACAATATTTAGTAGTGTTAGTAAAATATTTTACTTTAAGAATAAAAAAATCACTTCGTTATCTCATTTACTTACACATATTTTTTCTTCGAATTTTACTTCCTTTTTTGGCAAAGGTTAAATAAGAAGGGAAAACTTCATTTACAAATATATAAAAAAGCCATCCTGCGTTTTTACGGGAAATGCAAAATACTTCGATTGGAATAGAGAAGAAAATTGACGTCAAAAGTAAGACAAAATTGTAAATATTTAATATCTAGACTTTAAGTTTTGACTACCTTCTTGAGAAATTGGGGTAAATAAAGTTCCGAGAAGCATAGTTAATTAAGCATCACATATCCTTTCTTTGTTTCTTTCGTTTTTTCCCCTTTATATTTACTCTCATAAACCTATTATCTTCTGAAGAAATCTTCCGAAGAAATTTCCGCAGTTTATATAAACAAATATAAATGTTTACGTACGCAAATACCATTAACTTGAAAACTTAAAAACAAGGACTTAAAAGATTTCCTGAAATAATATGATAAATAAAATTTTTAGTACAAATATAAGAGTTTCAACACAAAACAGATTTGAAAAAAAGAAGGGAATTTTCCAACCATGAAACCCTACTTTCTATCCCCAGTTAACCACATGTCATACCTTATGGATACAAAAGGTGAAGGGAAAAAAATCTCTGCACCTGACGATGCTGAGAAAATAATGGGTTGTAAGGAAAAAAAGAAGTTCTCTGGTCATCATTTAGTGCCAGTAATTGACCATTACACAACCATTGAATCATCCCCTCCATTTGTCTGAAACGCTAAGTTAATTTAATAACTGATGATACCAGCAGGCTGCACGCGTCGTTCTTAGCGACGCGTTAAGCGAGCACGCATGCGAGTCAAAACATTAACTGAAGTGAAACAAAAATAAAACATGGGCGCGAGTTGGGAGTTGGAAAAGAGTACCGTTTCTTTTATTTTAAACAGGATTTTTGTGATTTATATATATTTAACTTACAAATTCTTAGAAATAGATTCGTGGTATTAGAAAGCTCTATAGTTTATAGTTCAGTGGAGCAATATGTAAATAAAGAATGAAACAGCCAATAAGAAAATTCAAAATAAAAATGGCATACTGTGGAAGGATGTCAACATATTTTGATATTCTTTTTCTTTCTTTCTATTGTAAAAAGCCTGTTATGTAGCATTTTTCAAATAAATTCTTTAATTTCTTCTTTCTAGCTTTTAATGTCAGAATTCCTTTAGTATTTGTTATGCAACCATAATGAATACTATCCCGTAGCCAGCCGTGCAAGTACATGTGGTTAAAATAAAAGATTACGTAAAAATTTCACTTCACAAAAGGAAATAATATACATTTTATTTCAATTTTAATCAATCCCAAGAAAGGAGAAAATATCAAATTTATATTGCTTATATATACACTAAATTATAATTCTTAAAA